CTTCATCCGGGATGTTCTGTCAATGACAATCTGATGTAAATCAACATCTTCTGTACGCGATGTAAATACCTATGAGCTGTTTTCAATTTGCGACAGAATGCGACAGTCCTAAGCAATGGCCCTCACATGCCAACCACTTGGGTCGCTCTGAGCGCACGGATGTAGTTCGTTTCGTGTCCTTTCCTTCGGACTGAGGGGGAAACTTTGCGAACATTTGCGTCGAGAGAAACCCCAAAGGTAGGACCAGCAATTCGGGAGGACAAGATGTGAGATATTCTTCATTCATTTTCCATAGATTGGGTGTCAATTGAGATGCAGACATACCCGATGCTCGACACTTATTCGGCCTGCTCTTTTTCGCGCCTACTTGCACCTACCTTATCCAATGAAGTATGACTCCCCCCTTTCCAACCCTTTTCGAAGAAAGATGTTGGTCCTCTGTATGTGCGTGCTCCCTGGTTGGTTTGATTGCCGAGTGCAGGAGAAGATGGGTGCTGACTGGCCGCATGAAAGGTCCCCGTCGGCCTTTTGAGCGACGTTCGAATAGGGGGGCCAGTCTTGGGGGCTAAAAAAAGGGCCGGGCCTTCCGTTCGGCTTTTCGGCTGAGGGTTGGGTTCCGGGGATCCGCTCACGATGGGCGGGAGGGGGCCGGTCGGCCGGGGGGGTTTGACATCTTCGGCTCCGGAAAGGGAAGAGAGAGAGCGAAAGAAAAGGGGGAAAAGGCTGGCATCTCACGACGGGAGACTTCTCGCCATCGTCGATGAACGAATGGGTCATTCGCTGTGCGCGCCACTTTTGCCAACCAGAGTGCTTGCTAGCACAAAAGGCAAAAGATACATGCAACACCGGGCATTCGCCGGTCGTCTCCGACCCGACTACTACTCCGGCCCTCACTAGTTTATCGATAGGAGAGCGGACGGGATCCCGAGTTCTCCAGTGGGTGTGGTCGCATGTGCTGTGTTAAAGGAGCGGCGATGGTCACATTGGTGGAGGTTGGTGGTGAGGCGATGGAGAAGGGTCTCCAGCCTGGGCCTGAGTGGTTCCTGGATTCTATGGGTATTGAATGACATAGAAGAGCTGACTGGTTGCAGCTTGGTTCGGCAGATGTTCAAAACCTCGTCCATTACTGTAGTGGTCATTGACGGGCTTGCGAACCTACTTTCGCTCGGCGTTCTTTCTGTCCACTCTCGGTCAATACAGAACAAAAACTTGATAACGAGTACCAATGAAGCAAAGACTTACAGTAGAATATTGGGAGCAAGGCGTGCTTGATGATATGGACGTTCGGCGGCCGTGGCATAACAAGGCAAGGCTCCGGTTTCCTCGTAGATAACTTCATGATTAAGAGTCACCAGCTAAGGGCCTTGTAAATCATTCTATCTGCCTCTCGCTCATATGACCATTCAAAAATTACATGTTTCTGTCACTAGAAACACAAAATGACAGCGAATAGTCCGAAAATCACAAGCTCTTGAGCGTTTGGAACTCGATACTGACTAGATTATGTGCGGTCCAACGTGGTCATTATTTTTGAGTTTTGCTACTTATTTGAGCAGGATCCCGCTCAAAACTCTTGGTATTTCTACCACGCAATGTACAGCTCGCTCGACTCATCAGGCAAGATGTCTAGACGAATTGCCCTTAGAACCACATAGAAAACGCTGAAACCTGGTGGCACGTCAGAGTTCCCGCACGACATTCGGCTCCAACTCTCGGAGAATACATTCTCAGTATTCGTATAAAAGCACTAGTAAAGAGTATTGTGATAGCAAGTTTATCTTACGTTCTATAGTGTCCATAGGTCTGCGTAAGTGTTTAGGAGTCCAGGAATATCTCGTAGGATCCACGGGAGAATGCATCCTACGAGAATATATATTTCTTCCTGCTTCATAGTGGTATCACCTTTCGATAATACTATAGCATTCTACATCTCTTAGACTGGGCCTATTCTATATAGAATACTCTATCAATAGTCCTAGAAAACGAGAGCCACTAGACTACCTAAGTGCCTGTATTTATAAAATTTGTTTATGTTCTTGTATGCTATTAGTGAGCATGTGCTTTCCCTATGTGACCAAAGCGGTGGTAAATGCTTAGGAGCGTCTCATAGTGGCTAGAGCGAGGGTTTATAGACATTGTTTTGCGTACTATGTGTGAGGTTGAAAAGAAGAGAAGAGGATGGGGAGAAATAAGGTGATGTTGTCAAATGCCTTCTAGACATCGATGATCCCGATAGGAAGAAGGTAGCCTGTCTCTCAAGTCCCATTACCGCCTGCTTACCCCTCCTTGCCTTGTCCACCGGGCATACCCAGCAAGTAACATCACCGCAAGCGTAGCCAGCAACCTCTGCCTGTTGATAACCTCCCATTGTCGCCCTGCTACCTAAGGGTCGTTTACTTCCATCACCTACAAGCAAGCTAGCTCCTCCCAATGATGGTGGGCGTCTCAGTCAGTGGATAGGCTACTTCCGATTTTGTTCTACATCAGCTGGAAAAGAGACCACAGTACATGGCGCAACATGTACCATGATGAACAAACCCCTAGCACTAGAATGGGGTGGCTTGAATGTAGCGAGCAAGGGTACATCAGTAGATTCGTGCCGAGGCTTGTATTTGGCTAGACGGGGCAGGGGCTAGCTAGATGTATTCTGAAGCAGGCCTGGTCTCTGCGTATTGGGTAGCCAGTCTCTGTCACGGCTGAGTAGACTTCAACGGCAAGCAATGTACAATGAAATGGACCTTACCAGCCTAAGCCAGTATCCAGGCTGTAATCAAAGGCGCGTTGTGATGAAACAATTGATCAAGCAGGCCACACTTACCTCAATGACTCTGCCAACTTGATACCGTAATCGGCTACGGATACATCGAGCCCATTCCGGTAAGCTCATCTCATTCGACGATCACGCCACTGATGGGGTCAGTTGGGTACCTCGAACCGGGACAATCTGGGCATTGCCGAATGGACTATCCGGCTGAAGGCGATCGGCCCGAGTCTCGGGGATCTAATGTGACGTTGTGCTTAAACCAACTACATATCGTTGTGTCTTATATTTCATGTGAAGCATTGCTTGATGACTCGCCATCGACTCGTCCTGACATTTGACCAGCTCTTGTAAGAGGCCTTGGTAGAAGGCTTGGTATCAATCATGAGAGATGAGAGCAGTGACCGGCAGTACCTCAGACCAGGTACGTCTTTCATAACCACGTTTCGTGGATCAAAGTCTTGGCTTATGGTCATTGCCCGAGAGAGAACCTTTACAACAGGGATAGACAGAGCGGCTTTGACACGGGAGATGAAGTGTGACGGTTACTGGCTCTCTGAGGGCCAAATCTGCGCTCACATCTTCACTCAAACGATGGGAAGCGCTTGGAGACTTGGCCTACTTCGTCTATAGTCTTGCGCAATAGTAATAAGATAGAGCAAAGTATGAAACAAGAAGAGGCTTTGAATGTTAAGAAAACGTGAAGAGGGGGGAAAGAAGCCAGAGGGGATGAGCTCCTTTCCACAGTATTCTAACATATTCTTTCTTCACATCATTATTCTTCAAGAAAGAAGAAACAACACAAGTGTCACAGAATGCAAAGAATCGTGGCAAGGTGGGGGATAGTTAGTTTCCTGGCAAGACATTCGTGCGGCTGCAGTGGTGCGCAAAAGAGACGCCAGGTCTGCGCCCAGGTTCCGCAGGCCCGGGAACTGGGCGTCAGAAGTCCACGACTAGATGCGCATTGAATTCAAGATTATTATGACAATGTGGTAGTCGGCGCGTATGTGACGTCCTGGCGTCCTGTTGGCCCGGCAGAGTCGACGTCAACGGGGCGAGTGTGGATTTTATGTGAAAGGGCATGTCGAAAAAGAAGATTATGGCGCGTCGGTGTACATTTGCCCGGTCCCAGCGACGCGGATTGGGACGGGTAACAAGCGGTGCCAATCAGGCGTGTTGGAAACGAAACGGCTGACGGTGACTAGGTCCAGGCTGGCTTGGTTTTCTCTGCTCGGCGCGAATCCCCCGGCCGCGTCTTTATTTCTTGTATCTTTGCCCCTCTATGTACTCGCCCCGCCGAGTTGTCAATGACACAGTGAGAGTAATGGAGGCATATGGCATGGGTTCCTCTCTCGATGTGTAAGAGGGGGTAACGGACCGAGAGATAGAGGGCTGGAGAAAGATTCAACTGGTAGAACTGCTCCCTCGGGGATAGCGGCACCACGGCAGGAACTAAACTGCCACATCTAACAGGTAAAAGATCTAATGATACAGACAAGTAAAAGAAGGTACAAGACGACAGAAACACAAACGCTGGAAGCGGATAGGCTGGCGGGTCACAGGTCGGCAAGTGCCCGCGCCCCGGCGCATTTAGGCGCATCCAACGCGCATAGAAAATAGAAAAAAGAGAGAGAAAAAGATACAACCCCCGGTCCCCCGTTGCTCCTGCGTCATTCCCAGGCGCACACGAGGTGGGGGGAGGGGCAACTTTGTGCTCCGTACTCACTTTGGAGGGGGCAGGATCAGGGGTTGGCGGGGGCCAAACAACTCAATGGACTGGACCTTCCTCTCCTTCACCACCTACCTCGTGTACCTACCTACCTATGTAGAGAGAGGGAAGGAGAGACAGGAGAAATGGATACCTCGCGCTTAGGAGCGTTATCTACCGAACGCAAGTACTCCAAGTGACACTAACCTCACCTTCCACACTTACACAGCACTTCAGGTACTACCTTAAGTAAAGTACATGGCGGGTAGATAGGTAGGTAGATATGCGACCAAACAAAAAAGGCCAGGTGCAAAGGATACCGAGCTCATTAGGTATCATCTAAGTCATAGCTTCCACTGCCTGCTTACATGATTTCCCGCCGTCTTGATCACATACAAAAGAGCTCTCCCCCATCCCTTCCCGAAGAATTTCTATTCCACGATAACTCCTCTCTCTTCTCATATTGAGTCTTTTACTTTCTATTCCAAGATACCCCCGACTCTATAGTCTACACCTCAAACACTGCCCAAAATGTCCCAGACCTCCCGCACCTTCACCCTCAACACGGGTGCCAAGATCCCCGCCATTGGCCTGGGAACCTGGCAGTCCGGCACCAACCAGGTCAAGCTCGCCGTCGAGGCTGCCCTGAAGAACGGCTACCGCCACATTGATACCGCTTTCGCCTACCAGAACGAGAAGGAGGTCGGCGACGGCATCATTGCCTCGGGCGTCCCCCGCGAGGAGATTTGGCTCACCACCAAGCTCGACAACCCCTGGCACAAGCGCGTCCCCGAGGCCATTACAAAGTCCCTCGAGAACCTCCAGACCGACTACGTCGACCTCTACCTCATGCACTGGCCCTCCAGCACCGACCCCGACGACCTCAAGAAGCACTACCCCGACTGGGACTACGTCGACACCTGGCGCGAGCTGCAGAAGCTCGTCGACACCGGCAAGGTCAAGAACATTGGTGTCTCCAACTTTGGCCTCACCCACCTCGAGCGCCTCCTCAACGATCCCTCCACCAAGGTATTTCCCTTTCTCTTTGACTTCTCCAGAACTGTCCGTACTAACAATAGACCCAGATCGTCCCCGCCGTCAACCAGATCGAGCTTCACCCCTGCAACCCCTCCCCCAAGCTCCTCGACTACTGCAAGTCAAAGGGCATCCACGCCACCGCCTACTCGTGCCTGGGCAGCACCGACTCCCCTCTTTACACCAACCAGACTCTCCTCGAGATTGCAAAGTCCAAGGACCGCACTCCCCAGCAAGTCCTCCTTCAGTGGGGCTTGGCCAGAGACGTCAGCGTCATCCCCAAGTCCGTCTCTGAGGGCCGCATCAAGGCCAACTACGACCTCGACGGTTGGTCCCTCACCGATGACGAGTTCAAGAAGATCTCCGCCATCCCCGACCGCTTCAAGGTCTGCGACGGCACCTTCCTTCCCGACGGTGTCAAGGTCTTCTTCGGCGATGATGAGTAAATGTTCAGTCCGGGTAGCAGTGTAATGAGTGAGAAAAAAGTGGTGGACTCACATAATGAGTTTTAAAAGAAACGAAACAACGCTACGGCGTGATAAGACATGCTGCTACGCAAAGGCAGCTAGGACATGATAGTCCTTGATATACATGAAATGAATAAACGAATCTTAAAAAAAAGAAGCAAAAAACTCTTCGTCGCACTCATCAAAACCCGCCCATCAAAGTTTCGGCTTGTGCTTCTCTTCCCTCAAGATATCAGCCACGTTCTCCCGCAACTCCTTTGCAAAATGCTCCGCGTCCTCATCGTCCAGCTCCTCCCTCCGGCCCCGCCCAAACATGGTGAAGCTCTCGCTATACCGCCCGCTCGCGCGGATCTCGGGTCGCGGAATGAGGTGGAAGTGCATGTGCATCACGACCTGCGCCGCCGCGGCTCCGTTGTTCTGCACCACGTTCCAGTCCTCCACGCCCGTCGTGCGCGCCAGGGCGTTGGACAGCACGCGCAGGTACCGGCCCATCTCGGCCGACTCGTCGGGCGAGGCGTCGGTGAGTTTCGGGCGGTGGGCGCGCGGGCAGAGGAGAAGGTGGCCGCGGGATAGCGGGAGAATGTCGAGAAAGGCGATGAGGAGATGCGTGGAGAGGACGACGAAGGCGGGCGTGGGGATGCGGTTTGGGTCGAGGGTCGAATTGTCGCCTTCGTCTTGTGGGGGTTTGGAGGGGTCGTAGGGAGGGTATTCTGTTGCGATTACGCAGAACGGGCATTGGCCTTCTGGGTGGGATACGCCCGCGTCGAATTGGGAGTTTGGTGTCATGATGGGGTGGTCGGGGGCGGTATCGTGTTGTTTGTGGTTGTGTGGAAAGCCGGGGAGAGCTTTGGCATTATCGGGGGTGTAGATGTGTTGGGGGAGTCTAGAAACGCCCGCTGCGTTGTCTGGTGTCGTCGCTTTGAAAGTATTACAGAGTTCGAAGGAATTCTATCAGACTAGTGAGGAAAGAACCGAAATCTAGAGGGCGATGCGAAAGACGCGAGGTTTGTTGGACAAGCTACGGCGTCCAAGAGATGTTTCTTCCAAACCTTCGGGAAGCTCTCTCTCCCCCCCAGGAAATCAGGGCGGCAGTGAGGTAGGTAACTTATGGGGGAAGGTACGGATAGCAAGCGATAACCTCGGGAAGTGGGCCAGCGTAGACGCCCCACCTGATTCACCAGAGCTCCACCACCGGTTGCACACCGCCCAACATTCTTCCTTTTTCTGCCGTTTCTATGCGCCTTCACCGCCTGACAAATTGTCATCCCAGCCCCACCACGCCTTCTGCCTGCATTTCCAATCCCGCCGCCTCTTTGAAGAAAAATCCCTAAAACTTCAATATCCGACGCGCCATACTCACCCGAACGCAACGAATCTCTCCGCCGCCGCACTCTATCCCTCCGAAGGACAAAAACCACCATAACATGTCCCGCGAAGCCTACCAAGTCCCCACCGCCGGCGCCGCCTCCGCGCCCAGCGCCGCCGCCTATCAGTCTTACGGCTCCGAGGGCCCCCAGATGCAATATCTCTGCGGCGATTGCGGTCTCAAGTTCCAGCTGCGTCGCGCCGATCCCATCAGATGCAAGGAGTGCGGTTGTCGTATTCTTTACAAGGAACGGACCAAGAGGTGAGTTCTTACATGCCATGGAGACGGGCAGTGAATGTGGTGTTAGGAGAGCGTAGACTGACTGTGTGGGATAGAATGGTTCAGTTCGAGGCGAGATGATTGGAGAAAAGATGTAGAGAGAGGATTTGATATTCGCGCGACGTGTGTACGCTGGAGGAGCGGGACAGCAGTAGCGATGTGGTGCTGCGCATTCGAGAGTCGGAATTGGATGACACACGAGGTGGTAGACTCGAGACTGCATGGGAAGAGAGTCTTGGCTGCCTGCAAGAGAGCCGCATATTCTTCAGCAGGGAAAGAGTCTCATACGAGGGACATGTATGACAAGCAGCCAACTATCAAAGCAAAGCCACAACGCATGTGATGCGCAAGGGCTGGGGAGTTCAAGGTTGGGGGACCAAAATCAATTCATAGAGCAAGGCATTCTTCTGCACCTGTTCCTTCTCCTTTTTTTCTTTTCGAGGTATCTCATGATAATGCAGCAATCATCTAAAACGCCATCCCCTTGCCCAATTGTTCGTTCATTCTATATCAAATAAATGTGACCCGCGCGTGTGTGCCGTGACGTCTCATGTCGGTCGCGTGTGCAGGTACTTTGCAAAACTGCCATCAGCCATGATGGAGTCGCCCTCAGCCTCCATGGCCGCCTCGTACCGGGCCTGAAGGCCCTCGCGGTCATCCTCGTCATCCGGCATGTCGTCGTCGTCCACATCGCTGGCGACATCAACGCCATCATCATCGTCGTCGACGGGCTTGACAACCATTGGCTTCTTGCCTGCGTCCACCGACATGCCCTTCATCATCTTCTCCACCTCGTGATCGCGGGCCAGACGCTTCTTTTCTTCACGCTCCTCGCGCCTGCGCTTCAGCTCGGGGAGGTAGTCCTGCTTGAATTCCTCGGCCTTCTCCTCCACTGCAGCGAAGAACTCGTCCATGCCCGTTCCGAGGCGGGAGCTGACGGGGACAAAGCTGAGGTGGGAGTAGAACTCCTCGAGCATGAGACTCATGGAGTTGAGGAGACTGCCCATGTAGCCGGAGCCGCCGCTGCCACCCTCAGACGTTTCGTAGCCGCCAATGACGTCGCTCATCTCGTCTTGCTGGAGAGCTTGCTGGAACGCCTCGAAATCCGTCATCCACTCCTTGGCAAACGTTGCGTCTTGCACGTCGGTCTTGTTGAAGACCAAGATCATGGGGAGCTTAGTCTTGTAGAGAATACTGCAAGCGTACAGCATGTTGGACATGAATGTGCTCGTGGAGGTGGTTCGAGGGGTATCGATAACGTAGGCGATGACGGTCGGGAAAGAGGACGCGAGAGACTCGAGAAGAATGGTTCCACTGGCGGACCAAACGAAAACCTCAATTTGTCCGGCTGCGGCAGTGTTAGTAAAGAGAGAGTCTGCCTAGGTATTCAGCAGACGTACGCGTATCGACAAGGATGTTCTTGATGGGCTTCTTGTCGGGGTTTGCAGGGTCTGGCGCAGCACGCTTGTCGAGCAGGTTGACGATTTGATCGACCTTTGTCGCGAAGAGGTTTAGGGACGTCAGGATACCACCGTTCGGTCCCAGGTTGTACTGCTTCATGACCTCCTCATAGTTCACCGAGTCGCGGATGTCAATGTTGCTTTCGAAAGGGACGTTGAGCACCGCGGGATCCAGGTTGATAACGTAGGGAGGATCTTGCTTGCCGTGCAGGTATGAGTTGATGCGTCGCATAAAGGTCGTCTTGCCTGAGCCTGGTAGTATTGGTCAGCGACACACTGAGCGCAAGACGAGGTTGTGTATTCCTTACCGGCCATGCCGACGACGACGATGGCAGTCGGGGTCTGGGTGGCCGCATTCTCGGCGGGGGTTTCTGCGGATGTTGAAGCCATTCTGATGTGGTGATGGAAATTCGCGTGCGGCTCTTCCACGGAGTGTTTGGTTCTCTTACGGGCGGTCGCTAAGAAAAAAGTTCTGGAAGAGTTGCAAGAGCTGAGTGCCCCGCGCGGGGCGTCGGAATGAACGAAACCCCCCTGTAAGTTGTACATAACGACTACCTAATCAGACACCCCCTGTCATTGCCAGAATCTTGATGGCCCGTGCTGGGAAAGTGACGTTCCTCCCGCGTCGCCAATTCATTTAGGGAACCTGCAGAAAAACAGGCCATTGCAGCTGGTAGCTCCATCGTCAACTAGCAAGCTTCCCACCTCTAGGCACAGCAATGATGGACGGCCTCGACGAATTCGAAAAGGCCCTGGCAGCAGAGAAGGGCGAGAAGGAGCGCATCGAGCGCGAGAAAGAAGAGCGTCGACAGAGGAAGAAGCAGCGCAGTCACCATCACCATCACCGCGATCGGTCTTCTGACAGACATCGGGAACGCGATCGCGATACACACCGGAGTCGAGATGGCGACCGCGACCGAGACCACGACAGGCATCGACAGCACAGATCCCGTCGCCATGAAGAAGATGGGGATGATGGCCACAGACACAAGCGCTCTCGTCATGAAAAGGACGACGAGGAGCGGCGATCGAGGCATAGGCACAGAGAAAGAGACGACGAGCGGCGGACGGACACACACGAAAAGACATCAGATCCGAAAGAGGACTTGCCTATTCCGGACGAAGAAACACCGCAAAACTCCAAGAATGCAGAGGCACCGCTCATGCGCGATTCTTGGATGACTGCGCCGTCGGCCCTTGACATCGACTACGTCCAGCGGAAACAGAAGGAGGTTAAGCCACCACCAAAGGAAGAGGCTCCGAGAGTCATTCACGACAGAGAAATCAACAGAGACTTCGCTGAAGTGGATAATGTCCCGACATCGGATGACAAGGCCGCGGCAAAAGAGCGGACGGTCAATTACAAATTCGGAGACAATGGCTCTCAGTGGCGCTTGACGAAGCTGAAGGGTGTCTACTCCATGGCTGAGGAGTCTGGCCGGTCGGTTGAAGATGTTGCTCTGGAGAGATTTGGTGATTTGCAAGAATTCGACGACGCGAGAGAGGAAAAGATCGAGATGGACAGGCGCAAGGTGTATGGAAGTGGTTACGCGGGTAAGGAGAAGCCTACGGGAGACCTTTATCGCGAGCGCATGGAGAAATACCGACAAGACGAGACACCCGCCGCACGAGACGATACCCACGATGTGGAACAGGGCGTCATCATACCCGACAATGCCATGCAGCGTACGCCCATGGACCAGACCGCCTTGAACAGATTGCGAGCTCAGATGATGAAGGCGAAGCTTCGCAGATCACCGGATGCTGCCAAATTGGAAGCCGAGTACAATCAAGCCGCAGCAAACTTTGCTACGAACGGGCCGCAGTCTGTTGTTCTTGGTGTCATGGATAACCGAATGCTGGCAGGGACTCGTGGTGAGGTCAAGGCCATCGAAAACAAGCGTGGGCGAGAGCGCGGGAACGTTGAAGCCAACGAGGACATGTCAATCGAAGACATGGTTCGCGAGGAGCGCAGGACCCGCGGTCAAGCAGGCGGCGAAGGTATGCGGCTCGCTGAGCGCATTGCCAAGGACGGCAAGTTTGACGACGACCTCGATTACATGGACGAGAATGCGGACAAGCTTGCCAAGCGAGTTCACAAGTCCGAGGTCAACCTCAAGAATGTGGCCGTCAACGAATATCAAAAGGTGTCACGGATTCTGGATAATTGTCCGTTGTGCCATCACGAAGACAAGGGACAGCCTCCTCTGGCACCGGTCATCTCTCTTGCCACGCGCGTATTCCTGACACTGCCTACGGAACCTGAGGTCAGCGAAGGCGGCGCTGTGATTACACCCATGGCGCACCGCAAGAACCTGCTGGAGTGTGACGACGACGAATGGGAAGAAATTCGAAACTTTATGAAGTCTCTGACGAGAATGTACCACGAAAAGGGCCAAGAAGTCATTTTCTACGAGAATGCGGCCACGCCGCAGAGGCATCTCCACGCGGCCATGATGGCTGTGCCGATCCCGTACGAAGAGGGCGCGACGGCTCCGGCCTACTTTAAAGAGGCCTTCCTCACCACGGAAGATGAGTGGTCGCAGCACCGGAAGATCATTGACACGGCCGCCAAGGCAAGAGATGGCATGGGCAGGATGGCGTTCCGAAGGAGCATCGCAAAAGAAATGCCCTACTTTCACGCGTGGTTCACGCTCGACGGCGGCCTCGGGCACATTGTCGAGAACTCTGACCGCTGGCCGAGAGGAGACCTTTTTGCAAGGGAGATAATCGGGGGCATCCTAGACGTCGGCCCGGACGTGATCAAGAAACAAGGACGGTGGAACAAGGGTGACCGGAGAGTCGAGGGTTTCAAGAAGAAATGGAGGAAGTTCGACTGGACCCGCGTCTTAGCCGATGGTTAAGCTTAACCACAAATGGAACGTAATTATCATGGCTATATCAATATCCGGAGCTTCGACTTGATAAACCTCGGTTGCGAGATCCGAAAGGGCCGTGAAAGGGTTGGTTCAAGGTCTGGGAGAGGCTGGCACGTTGGCTGGGCCCCCCAATTCCAATATGTTTTTCTCGAAGCTTCATCCCCGCCCCCGTCACCTGATGATGCCAACGGCCACCCACGTCGAGGCCCAGACTGCTGGAACTTGGCACCCCCAGCCAGACCAACGAAGCTATTGTTGCTACTGTAACTCGTTGGAGGCACAATATCCGAAAATTGCGGGCGAGCAGGGGCCCACCACCTCCAGCTCGCGCAGGCGCACCAATCGTCAGCGTGCCGAGTCTGGGGTCTCCCCCGGTAACCCCGCGATGAGTCCCCGCAGTTCGGGCCGTCTCCATTCTGTCAGCTGCTGCTTTGCCTGCCGTCTTGAGTGCTTCTGCCCGTTGGAAATCTTCCGTCGAATGGTCACATTGGCCCGAGAAGAGAAAGGGAAAAAACAGAGATTGCCGAGACCCGTGACGACTGACAGCTCGCTTGCGTTTATTTTGAACCCTTGCCAGAGTGGTGAAATCATGGTTCGACCTGATGCCTAGCCCGGTGGGCGGTGAGGGGGTTGTTGCGATTGATATATAACACGGCTGTTGCGTCGTCGAGGGAAGGGCTGGAGGATTGGCTCTTTGTGTGTCTCAACCGCTGTGATAACATCTCATCATGAAGTTGCTCTCTCTCCTCAGCCTCACGGCTCTGGTCACGGCTGTTCCGGCCCCGGAGCCCGTCAAGTACGTTCTCACCACTTAATTTCATCACTTACATCGAAAACACACACCTTGAGGCACTGGAACAATGATAACAGGAGGCTAACATGAAGAAACGCAAACAGCCCCGGCCCCGGTCACGGCAAGCCCTTTTTCTACAAAGGCCACGACCTGAGCTCTCTCAAGATGCTCGAGGAGAACCAAAACATCTACATTGACACGGCGCGCGGCAACGCGACTCGCCCGGCCGACGACATCCTCGCCGACGGCGGCATGAACGCCGTCCGTCTCCGCCTGTGGGTGAACCCGCCTGACGGGACCTACGGCCTCAACTACACCATCGACCTGGCCAAGCGCTTCCAGGCCAAGGGCCAGCGCATCTTCTTGGACTTCCACTTCGCCGACAGCTGGGCCGACCCGCAGAAGCAGCCGCTGCCCGCGGCGTGGCCGACGCAGCTGGAGCCCCTGGCCGGCACGCTGCGCAACTATGTCCGCGAGACGCTTGTCGCCTTCAAGGACGCCGGCGTGACGCTGGATATCGTGTCGTTGGGCAACGAGCTCCGCCACGGCACGCTGTGGCCTCTGGGTCAGGTGAACGTCGACGTGCAGCCGTGGTCGGCGCTGGTCAAGAACTTTACCAACTTTGCGACGCTCTACAAGGCCGCGCGGGCGGGCGTGAAAGACGCGACGTGCGCGGGCGTGCCCAAGCCCGAGGTCATGATCCACCTCGACAACGGCTGGAACCTGACGCTGCAGGAGCGGTGGTACGGCGCGCTCGTCGACAACGGGGTGCCGCTGTCGGCGTGGGACAGCTTCGGGTTTAGCTTTTACCCGTTCTACGGCACGTCGGCGACGTTTGCGAACCTCAAGAACACGCTCAAGGTGCTCGGAGAGAAGTACGGCAAGCCGATGCAGGTTGTCGAGACGGATTACCCTGCCATCTGCAACGGGCAGTGGAACCCGATCCCCGAGTCGTCGGAGCCGAGTATCCCGTACAATGTTGATGGTCAGGTGCAGTGGATGAAGAAGCTGCTCAAGACTGTGAGGGAGACGCCCAAGGGTCTTGGACAGGGTGTTTGGTACTGGGAGCCTGGTGAGCACTACTCTTTTCTGTTTACTGGTTGTGAACTGAGATGCTGACTCTTTTGATAGCGTGGTTGAACAACACGAGCTTGGGAAGTGACTGCAACGACGCCGTCTTGTTTGAGCCGGATTACAGCCAGTGGCCCAAGACGTTTGGATACTCGCGCTCGTCTGTCAATGTCTACTTGGAAAAGTAGGCCGGTGCGTCGCACTGAGAACAGGGAGGTCTAGGTTGAAGTCTGAAGAGCTGCGGTCCGGACTTCGGATAGCTGCCGTTGAGCATGGGCACAAGAGCAGCAGTCGCAAGTGGCAGGGGGATATGAACGGCTGCTTGAAACAGAGTAGTTTCGATACTAATGATAATTCAAAAATACCCGAAGGTTACGGAATTCAACTTGAGTTGGCTCTTGGGGTGGCCTCAAGTCTCACTTGACTCGTCAGTGGTAACTGCTGTGAGTGAACAAGGCTGCGAAAGTATTCTCTTCCGTATGCTTTTGCTCCTGTTCTCAGCTTACTGGCCAGTCTGCTGTTACTGGTAATTCTTGACTTGATGTGACTTTTGACTGTGACAGCTACAGCAAAAGACTGAAGTGGGCTCCATGGAAAGTGCCCCTCAAACACTTAGCACATCCACCAGTTGCGAGCCCCTTTTTTCTACTATTCAACTTCACACCAATTACCTGGCTCCCGAGAAGCGAGCTGCATCAGGTTGCGGAAAAGGAAGGTATCTGTCCGGGAAGTATGTTGCGATGGTGTTGACGTTGCCGGCGGCCGGCAGCTTGTAGATGGTAGCATTGACACGGTGAATGCCCCGACTCAGTCGAAGGGTGTCTTCATCTCTTCATACTTTTCAACCAATCAACCAATATTCTCGAGAGATTAAGCAGGAGGGAGGCGTTGGGAAACAAAATGTGACAGATTAAACAAAGTGGTATGCCGCGATCAGGTAGGATGGTCAGGGTTCATCCTGCTAGGCAGGACCCCTATGTTTAACAAGCTCATGCTTTCACTGCAGCGCCGTTCCGTAACTCTGTTTCGATTGGGCGCGAGGCGGGAGGGCGTCATAGTCATGGCCTTTGGACACATGAGATTGTTGAGAAGGCAGGTGACTTGTTCACACGCCGGTCCGTTCTACAGGAGGCCTTGAACGAAAAAGCTTGACAAGCACACAAACACGACAAGCTGGTACTAAGTTGGAAAGTAAGTGGTGAATAAAGAAGCTTCACCCTGGTACGTCACTAGCCATGCGATGGGAGTGGAAAACAGCGGTTACCCCACGAATGTACGCGTGTATGAAACGGGAGCATTGATCGGGAGAGCAAAAGTCGTGTTTGGGGTTTCTGTGCAGGGTGTCAGTCGGTTTGAAGAAACAGATGAAGTTTGTGGATGGGAGTGTGTGCTGTTCCATCTGACCAAGGTGCCTCACACATGAGGTTGTTGTTTGGATGAATACATAACACTGTTGGTCTGAGGAATGAGGTTGTGAGGGTCGGTGTAAGTGAGTGAGTGAATGAGTGACTGAGGTGAGGTGAGGTGGTGAGCGACCTTGAATGGGCATTGAACGGTGAGAGGACCCAGGCGGATGCGGGAAGGAGCTGGTGGGGGGCGTAGGCTGGTAAATGCACTGTGCGGCATACGGAGGGGTGCGGCTTCGGTAGGGTCGGGGCCCGTCGGGGAGCTCTTGAGGCCCGCTGTCCATCCGCAGTGTCGTTGTCTGCCCCATGTTTCTGTCCAAACTTGAGCCTTGAGGCCAACTGGTCAAGACCGGTCAAGATCCATTTTTAGCCAGCCTGGGTGGTTGAGGTTCTGCCTGATGGTGATCTGTGGGGAAGCGGAAGGCGCCAGCGACACAGTGTTAATCCTGAGGAAGGTGTGGCTTGGGCCGACTATCCGCCAATGATTTCGCAGACAGGAGGGAGGAAAGAGCTCTGCTGATGCCTCACCTTCCTTTCGTGGACGGACATACCTACCGCAGTAAGGTCAGGTAGCGGACAGGAAGATACTTGTCGGTTGTATCTTTTAAAGTTCCATTGCTTTGAAGCACGCAAAGCAGCAAACCTGCAGCACCATTCCATCGTCTTATTCCCGCCTCTTCTTTACCACTCGAGCGAGGCAAAAAACAACCAGGATCAATCTTTCTCGGTTGCAGCGCGCTTCATGACCTGCCGTGCCTGCCATTGCATTGCTCCATTTCTTTTAGATCCTGTCCCTCCCATTTCCTGCGCTGGTCTGTCCTCTCCTAATTATAACCCCCGTCGCATCCGTCCTACATTACTCTCGCCAAGTTTGAAGATCCTTCTTCTTCATTGCTGCTGCTTCATCGGTCTCGCCTCCCCGACTCTCTCGGTCAATCGTCTTTCTGCTTTCTGTCAGACCAGCGGGAACAAAACCTCCGTCGCCTCCCCTCCAAATCACCCAAACCAGCGATACCGGCCAATCATCCGCCTCCTGTGCGCCACAACGAAGCACATCAGTACCCTTTTCTCGCTACGGTGTCGTCATTCGTCACTCGTCACTTCCCGTACCCAGCCTTTCGAAGCCTCCGCCTGCAGAAAGCACATCCGAGGGTCCTCGTCACCCTCGACCATATTTTTCATCCCTCCCATCGCCTGTCGATTTGCTTGCCAAATCGTTACCTCACTTCTGAGAGGCAATAAACGAATCGATAGCGGCGCACCTTATCGATCCGGCTCCCCCAACCCGAAGCCAAAAGCACAAACCAACAGAACCGAACCACCGCCCGGTCGCCGCCTCCTTCTCTCATATTATTCTTTTTTATCATTTTCTTCTTCTAGAACCTCTTTCCCACCCCGGGCGCCTCCTCTGTATAATCCGTCACCATGTCGTGGGAACTCTCTCGCCGTCGCATTGTCCGAGCTGTCAACAGCAAATACATTTATGGACGCCTCGTATGCCAACCCCTTCCATAGCACTGTCGTACCTACCTGCCTGCTCCATTCGTTGCTTTTCGTGTTGCCCCTAGAACATTCCTCCCACGGTTGAATCTGAATCTTTGCTTGGCTGTCTTGCTTTCCCGTCCGCCACCTCCGTACTACCACTTGCGCTTGCGCTGTCTCCTATCGCTGCATCTCTTGCATCTACGCCTATCGCGCCGCACCTGATTAAGTCAACTTTGCGCTGACCTACGAACCTACTGTTAGCCACTGCTTCACGCAATCATCATTCTTATCGAAATGGCGCTCGTCGCCCGGTTGGTGTCCAAGTTCAACCAATACTACGACGAACGGCCACGTACGTGCCTCCAAGGCTCCCACATCCAGAGTTCGCCACACTACAATCCATCATCCATACTGACTCTATTGTCGCAACAGTGCTCACCATGATGGTGACGAATGCCATCCTCGGTGGCATCGCCGATACGACCGCACAGACAGTTACCGCCCTTCGCCTGAAGGCCGTTCGTAAGCCCGGCGGCGTCGACAAGGACGATGGCATCGCGATCGAAATCCACGACCTCGACCGCAAGAACCCCTTCTACGAGAAGGACCTCATTCCCAACATCAGCAGCCTGCCTCCCCCATTCGACTTCGAGCGCCTGACTCGCTTCATGGCCTACGGTTTCGGCATGGCGCCCCTCCAGTTCCGCTGGTTCAAGTTCCTGTCGGCCACTTTCCCCATCACCAAGACTAGCGCCTTCGTCCCTGCCATGCAGAGAGTCGCCTTTGATCAGCTCATCTTTGCCCCCTTTGGTCTGCTCTGCTTCTTCTCTGTCATGACTGTCGCGGAGGGCGGTGGACGCCGTGCCGTTATGAGCAAGCTGCGCGACATGTACATTCCCACGTTGAAGGCAAACTTCATCGTCTGGCCTGCCGTGCAGGTTGTCAACTTCCGCCTGATGCCCATGCAGTTCCAACTGGTAAGTTTGAAAGCCGAACGGGAAACACTAGGAACACATGCTAACACTACGTAGCCCTTCGTCTCTACGATCGGTATTGCCTGGACCGCCTACCTCTCCCTCACCAACTCATCTACCGAGGTCGATAACCGCCCCGGCGCCCGCGAGGACGACCACATTCGTCTTAGCTAAATTCCTTACCTATACTTGATTTCCTCGTATTTTCGGTCTGCAGGTCGGCATGGGACGGGTCTGGTCGACACCATGGCGAGCACACGAGAAGGTTATACCAATGAAGCACAGTCGTACTTAGAATTTGTTCGATCGTTACAAGTAAAAAAAAAGACAGCAACGGCATTAACGGCATCGGCTGCTGCGACGGTACAGGCGTCTGGTGTTTTGGGGTCCGACATTGATTTAGGAAGGCCCTCTTTTTATCGTCTCTCTTTTGTAGCCAGCAGTTGTAAAACGCAACGAAATTGAACAAAACGGTTCATTCATGATATCTGATGCTTTGGATGAGGTATGGTCTGAGAATGTTGTAATGGCTCCGATTTTGGACCGGCGGATCTCTCGGTGATATTTTGAAGCTTGTCACTGAAAGCAAACCCCGGTCACCTTGGCTGTTGAAAATTGTTGCTATAAAATACCACAGCAGGTTTTGTGCACAGTCCTCGGGTCAGGACTGCTATGTACCAACAATAGCGTCTGAAACGAAACCATAAGATAGCCAAGATGCTGCATGGTCTTTCCGTGTGTTTTGCCTTGCCTTCCATGTCATGTCTCTAGTATCGGGCGATAGGTATTTTGGCTACGGTCCGTTGATCCCGGGTGGACGGCCGTGACCGGGGGATTGGTTGAGGAAAGCGCAGTTTCTGTGAGGTATCAGACTACCATCACGTCACACACCCATGGCGGGGCAGGCCGCAAGCATCAGCACCCCCGTTGTCGCAGCTGGCCGATTTAGTGGAAAAGCACTGGACAGGGCACCTAAGGTAAGGTAGGTAAGCAAAGCTCCCCCCACTGATACGCCCAATCTGGGTATCTACCACCCATGGATAAGGTACAGTAATTGCAGGCTTGCAGCAGCAGGGCCGAAAATCAACCCCGCCAACAGAAAAAAAAAATGTTATGCAAAAAACCGCCGAGCAAAGATGCCCCTCCTTCCATCCTGCTTGCTCTGCCTTACTGCGTATCAGTAGCGTCCCAGTCACTGGCACTGACTGGCAGTAACAGCAGCACCCCACCATTGCAAGCTTCCCAACGTGAGGTGCCCGTGTTGAACCACTCGAATTGACTGATTACTGCATGTTTTACCCCCCTGCCCGCGCTGTTCTTAGAAGTGTCCGGCGTGGTGTCCAGTCCCTCCCTCAATCACTCCATCAGGTCCAGCCATCCCACCTTGGGCAAGGTAAGTAGCGTGTGTGTGTGTGGTAGCTACCTTAGCTAAATATACCTCAGACCTTTTACTACTTCCTCAACGCATTCCCTCCCCTCCTCTTCTTCTTCCTCTTTCTACTTCTTCAACCTTCAACTCTACCCTTCATCCTCACACATTTGCGCCCCTCACAACCGCAATCATGTCTCTCGCCAACAAGCTCTCCATCACCGACGTCGATCTCAAGGGCAAGCGCGTCCTCATTCGCGTAAGTCGTGCCACTCTTACCATGTTAATGTCCTGGCCTTGAGCGTTGCCGGGGACGGTTTTGGTGTTGGTGGTGTCTTTGTTGCTGCTGCGGCGCTGCGCTGCTGCTCAAATTACCCCACCATGCCACCATGCCACCCGCATCCGCGCCTGATCCCGGGTATCATTTCACACCCGTTCCGTGTTCTGGCGATACGGGACGAGCCGCGGGTATTCGACTCGGCCACCCTGCACATGCTTCCTCTGACGGCATTAGAATACACCGGGAACGCTGGGCACGCTTTCAAAAGCCACGGTCCACTAAGCCGGAAGGTCGGACTCCCCTTGCTGACCCCTCACCTAGGTCGACTTCAACGTCCCCCTCGACGCCGACAAGAAGATCACCAACAACCAGCGTATTGCCGGTGCCGTCCCCACCATCAAGTACGCCATCGACAATGGCGCCAAGGCCGTCGTCCTGATGTCCCACTTGGGCCGTCCCAATGGACAGGAGAACCCCAAGTACAGCCTGCAGCCCGTCGTCCCCGAGCTCGAGAAGCTGCTCGGCAAGAACGTCCAGTTCGCCAACAACTGCGTCGGCAAGGACGTTGAGGATCTCGTCAACAAGGCCACCGACGGCCAGGTTGTCCTCCTCGAGAACCTGCGCTTCCACATTGAGGAGGAGGGTTCCGCCAAGGACAAGGAGGGCAACAAGACCAAGGCCGACAAGGCCAAGGTTGAGGAGTTCCGCAAGGGCCTCACTGCCCTCGGTGATGTCTTCATCAGTATGTCCATGACTCTTGATTGCCATTGAGAACCCCGTCTTGTCTCAGAAGCTGACATGTCCAACCAGACGACGCCTTTGGCACTGCTCACCGCGCCCACTCCTCCATGGTCGGTGTCGACCTGCCCCAGAAGGCCTCCGGTTTCCTCATGAAGAAGGAGCTCGAGTACTTCGCCAAGGCCCTCGAGAACCCCCAGCGCCCCTTCCTCGCCATCCTCGGTGGCGCCAAGGTCTCTGACAAGATCCAGCTCATCGACAACCTGCTGGACAAGGTCAACACCCTCATCGTCTGCGGTGGCATGGCCTTCACCTTCAAGAAGACCCTCGAGAACGTCAGCATTGGTGACTCCCTCTTTGACGAGTCCGGCTCCAAGACCGTCGGCAAGCTCGTCGAGAAGGCCAAGGCCAACAACGTCAAGCTCGTCCTCCCCGTTGACTACGTCACCGCCGACAAGTTCGACAAGGACGCTAAGGTCGGCTCTGCTACTGACGAGTCCGGCATCCCCGACGGCTGGATGGGTCTCGATTGCGGCCCCAAGTCCATTGAGCTCTATAAGCAGGCCATTAACGACTCCAAGACCATCCTCTGGAACGGCCCCGCTGGTGTCTTTGAGTTTGACAACTTTGCCACCGGCACCAAGTCGACGCTCGATGCCGCCGTCGCCGCTGCCGAGGGCGGCAAGATTGTCATCATCGGCGGTGGTGACACGGCCACTGTTGCCGCCAAGTACGGTGTCGAGAGCAAGCTCAGCCACGTCTCCACCGGCGGTGGTGCCAGCTTGGAGCTTCTCGAGGGCAAGGAACTGCCCGGTGTCACTGCTCTGTCGAGTAAGTAAATCATTCCTCGTACAGTGGAGAACGAGACCTCTATGGACTTGATCGGTCTGATAGATGGGAAAAGGCCGGCCTGGTAAGGCCAGTCTTTAGGACTCGGGATGAAAGAAATGCGCGTGCGGGAATGCAACGAACGCAGAAGCCCATGCCCGGAAAAAAGGAGGGGCGCTCATGATGAACGTAATGCCCTCGTGTCATGTCCTAGGATCATTAAACGTCACGATATCAAATAAACAGTAAAAGTAGAGACACGTCTCGTTCCACAGGGAAACCCAAAGGGAAATTTGGAAAACCTCGTGTGCCCAGTTGTGATTTCATTTCTGGTATATCGCCAGTCGTATAGAGCTCGTTACGTAGTGTAGTCTATGCCGTGATTCCCACCAAGTCCACCCATGCGTCATTCCGCCTCCTATCATCGTACCCCCCACACACACACCGCGAGTGGCTTATCGTCTCTTGGATGCCTCGACCTTCTTCAACTCCTCCCTGTGGTGTTGTCAGTACTCTCATTAGGAAGGTGGTCTCGAAGGGTGGGGGATTTGCCATACTTCAACTGCGCCGAGAAGTCGTCGGTCGTGTCATCGTCGTCCCAGCTCTCCTCCCACAGGTGCTGCGTCGAGCCACTGCCGCCCGCAGCTGCCTCGGTCTCTTCCTGGGGCCAGTCTGTGGTAGGTACGTTAGCATTTGTTTCTTTCTTCGCAAACAAAGCAGATAGAATAGTGTGGCGTGTCTATGTTGGCCGGGAATGATGATCCCGCTCCAACGTAGCTCGAGGTTACGATGGAACAGATGGACCAAGTGATGCCATCATCATCCCCCCATCATAGTAAAGCCGAAGCAGTAGGTGCTCCTTCAAACACTATGGAAAGGAGATTATCGACAATGAAGGGCGAAAGAGACGTACCGTCGACGGGGAAATCCTCAAATTCGTCGTCCTCGCCGAGCGCGGGCTTCTTCGCCGCCGCCGCCTGCTGCTGCGTCGTCTCGTCGGCCTTGGGGTCCGCGGCGGAGGCGGTCTTGTCCTGGGGCTTTGCGTCTGAGGCCATTGTGTGGGATGTGTGTCTTTGTGGTGGTGGATTGAGGAATGCCTTGCGCTCCCTCTCGGTTGTGCGAGATTGCGATTGTCGTCGACTGAAGGGTAAGATTGACCGGATTCCTAGAGAGTTTTTTTTTCGTGGGTTTCGCAGGTTTCGCGGTGTCGCTGGTTGTGATTGTGGTGGGTTTGTGGTGTTGGAGTTGCGGATTGGTGATGGTGATGGTGTTGGGAGGAGCTAGCTTGCTTGTAGGCGATGGAGAGGTAACAGGCAACGCGGGCGGACGGTCGGTGGTGGAAGGTTGTCGACGGGCGGAAGTTGCCGGCTGCGGCTGGCTGGCTGGCTGGCGTTGCTGTTGCTTTGCTCGCTGGGTGCGGCGGGCTGAACAGGCGGCACTGGGAAGGCGTAATGCTGGCCCTGGCATCGGAGGTGGGGTGCGGGATTAGCTTACCGTACGTCCCGTGGGCTTAGGTGGGATTGAGATGCACCCCCATAGCAACTCTGCCCACCGAGCTGAAGTCAAGCTTGGCGAGAATAACCTCCTACTTGACGACTGTGTTTTGTCCCAAAAGTTTCTGGATTTCTCGGTTCATCGAACTGCTTCAATTTTTACGATTGAGAAGATCCAAAACAAAGCTGTAGACCTTGGGTTCGCGACAAAGACGGAGAAACTGCCGTCTGAAGCTAAGGCAAGCATCTATGCACTGTTGGGCACTCTGTCACATCGAATAGGCAAGCTTGGTCATATCTTGTCCTTGTGAAGCGGACACTTACTCAGGCGAGAACAAGAAGTAAAAAGCTGGAGAAGCTCAAGAGAAAAGATGAAATCTTATGGCTTATAGGTAGCATCTTGAGAGCTGGCACCTTGCAGCTTTTTGCCAAAGAGCGAGTAATCCAAACCAAAAACCGGCTTGAACGCCAGACTCCTCTAATGTTCAAGCATATCCATAATGATTCCGCCTCTCAACATCCCTCAAGCACGCATCGCAATATCCCACCTCCCAGCGCGTCTCATACCTCAATCTCGACAGACACCGACCGCGAGTCCTGCCTCGCGAACATATGTCTGTCCCGCGCTCCACCGTGTGGCGGCAGTCCTCCTTCTTTACTTTCCAAATGGTGCACATGAATACGAGCTTGCTGCCTTATAGAGATGAACAGGGAAGTAGTGTAGAGACCTAAGTTCTTGGTCTAAAAGTGATCTCGCAATCAACGACATGGGATTACTTCAACTGTTCGAATTCATGTTTTGAGCATCTCATATATATGGATACCCCATGCGCTGATGACTGTGTGCTTCTCATGAATCGCACTTACTATAGATAACCTCTGACTGTTAAACACACTCGCCTTGACACGACCTAGCCGGCGCAGTATCCGATGTGACTAAGGAGAAAACACTGTGACAAAAAACGCCTGTACACCAAGAAATTACTTCCCGACGTCCGCCAAGGTTTCTGAAGACTGTCGAGTGTTCTACGCATCCTCGTCTTCGTCTTCCTCTCCCTCTTCTTCTTCCTCTTCCTCTTCCTCTTCCTCTTCCTCTTCCTCTTCGCCATCGCCTTCGCCCTCCTCGACTTCCTCATCTTCACCCTCTTCGGCTTCCACATCTTCATCACCCTCCTCTCCATCTTCGGCCTCTTCTTCCTCATCACCTTCTTCAGCTTCTTCGGTCTCCTCGCCATCTTCGCCCTCTTCGCCCTCTTCATCCTCTTCACCCTCTTCGCCTTCTTCGCCTTCTTCGCCTTCTCCGCCCTCTTCACCTTCTTCGGCCTCATCGCCTTCCTCACCCTCTTCACCTTCTTCAGCTTCATCGCCCTCCTCAACTTCCTGGCCTTCCTCACCTTCTTCAGCCTCCTCACCTTCCTCAACCTCCTCGCCGTCGCCCTCTTCTTCTTCTCCTTCCTCCTCCTCCCCCTCCTCTTCCTCTTCACCGTCTTCGCCCTCTTCGTCATCGCCATCACTAGAGTTATTCGCCTCTTCGGCGCGACCTGAATCCACGCTCTTCCTGAGATTAGGGAACATGAGTGAAGGAGGGGGCTGCTCATCCCAGTCATCCGGAACATCGCTAAGTTCACTCTCATCATCTGCAGAATCGTGAATGCTGCCCCGCGGACTGGACGCTGCCGTGGCCTGTGCAAGCGTTTCGTCCCCTTCATCAACATCCATGGCAGTGTCGTCCTTCATCTCCGTGTCCTCGATCTCTTCGACAGTGTCTCCTTCGTTGAGCTCCTCGGTATCACTGGCCTCCCCGGCGTCTCCAACGGGAGTGCGCGTTCCGTTCCTGCCACTCGAAACCGAACCCACACGAGATTTGGAAGGAGCAACTGATGGCTTTGGCGCTTCACCGTACCGGGCAAACGCCTGTTCCGCCTTGCGAATGATATCAGGCCGACGAACGCCCGCCCTGCGCCTGGGTGCTGCCTCAAGTGTCGATGCCGTCTTATCACCTTCACCATTGGCTCCCGAGTCTTGCGCCGATGATGGGTTCAGCAGGTTGCCCAAGGAAGTGGATGGCTTGAGCTCGATCCCGCCATCGGCCTCTTCTCTGGCACGAGCCCTAGCACGTGCTTCAAGAACTTCGTGAGGCTCAGGGCCGGGCAGCGAAGGGCCAATCTCCTGGTAGATGATGGCGTAACAGTCGTTGATTAGGTCGTCAATTGCCCCAGCCTTCATGAGGCCGCCGTTGAGCTTCTTCAACTCAATCGTCTCCTTCAAGCAGTTGAAGGCGGGAATGTCCGTTGCCGGACCTCCGGCCCACTCCGTGATACGATCAGCCATGATGTCCAGCTCTTCCATCGATGTCGACTTGAAAGCGTCTTCCAACGTAGGAGAAATTTGGAAGCCCTGACGTAGAAGTCTAAGGTAAGCCATGGAGCACATCTGCCACAAGTCGCCAAAGTGGTAGAAGTCGGCGCCCTTCTTCCGAAGTCGCCTGAGAACCATTTCCAAATTCACTCGGTCGTTCATAACCACCAAAATCTTGACCATGAAGCGGATATACTGGGACGTATAGACGTGGTGGCGCCCAGAACGCTCCGCGTCGCACTTCCAGACATTCATAACCATTGTCTTGGTAAACATGGATTCTCGAAGGACATTGAAGGCTGCCTTGGCTTGCACAAGCTCGGGTGATTCGCCATCCTCATCGAAAAGCAGGCGGGCATGACGCATAATGATACGGTGCTGCCAGTTGGACTTGTCCTTATCCCGTAAGTGATGCAAATTCCGGATCACATATTCCTCCCAATCTTCGTTGTCGTCAAGAGTGATATCGTCTCCGAGTTCCATACCAAATGGTTGCCTCGACAGAATGTCTGCGCCCTCTTGTGGCTTCAACTCGCCTCGAACAACCAGCTTGTACACTATCGAGACGATCTTGTAGTGCGGCTCCAGGATAGGATCGCTATGCCGCGATTTGGGCACCGCCGCAACAACTTCGACAGCGTGTTCGAGGGCCGAAATCAAGTACTCAAGTGATGGGCGGGTCTCCCGGTCCTTTTTGCTAAGCTGGTCAATGGGCTTCTGGTACATTTTCCACAAACATTTGGTAAGCATGTACGGATTCCTGTTCAGAGTCAGTCAAGGTTCGGCGTAATTGTAAAGGACAACGAACCTCCAGTCCATTGGTTTACGCCTCATGGCACGTTTGAACAAGCCAGCTGCGTATTTCCAGACTTTGTAGTCTTGCATCTGGTCGTGAAGGACCCTTTGGAAGGTTCCATTTCCCTCGCTTTCGATGAAGAATCTCTCTTGGTCCGCATGTTGGAAGGGCTCCATAGCAAGAGGCTCGCGGCTGGATGCGTACAGGCGCATAGCAAAGTTATGATAGAGCTCGTAGAGCGGATCCTCGTCCTCGTCATCGATCTCTGCCTCCCAAGAGTTAGACAACGCTAGAGTATAGCAATGAATTGAATTCCGCTGGAATTTGAGCAATTCGCCGCGTTCCTTGTTCATCTTGTCGGCCGACCACAACACAGCCTCATCGAGCTCGTAGTCGAAGCACTCGGCTAGGCGGAACCAGGCATCCCACTTATCTGGAGTGAACTGAAGTTGCAGCCGCAAGAAAGTGGCCGCGAGCCGCAAGTCGTCAGTTGCACCTGGTGTTTGCCGCTTGCTCAAATCCACTTGCTTGAACCTCGTCAGGGCAATCATGCCTAGGAGGAAGAACCAGCCGTGCCTGGCTAGGGCGCTTTCGGGAGTGTTTACAGCTACGACGTCCAACTGAACACCGCCGGTGAGGGCTTGGTAAAGCCGAAGGGGGTGGATCGGCCGCTTCAGATACTCGGTAAAGTTCCTCAGGTTGTGGATCATCTGAGGCGTCGACTTTGTCTGTCCAATGGCTCCTTGCATGTGCTCGATGGTCGTTTTGAGGTCTGACTTGAGGAGGTCCTTTCGGGGCATCCTCCTTGCCAGGACCGTAATCTTGTCCACAAGCTGCATGGCGTTGCGCTTCTCGAGTTTCTCCGGGGGGCAGCCATGGTCCTGAACCTCTCCAGCACCGACACCAAGTTTGAGACCGTGGAGGTCGTAAAGCACTTGCCCAAGATAGTCTTCCCAGTTTTCAATCTTCTTGAACTTGAGCAACTCAACCCGCATCATCTTCAAGAAAATCTTGTTTGAGGCTTTACAGCATTTCCTGAGCCCAATTACCTGATGGATTGCAGACAAAAAGTCTGCCAACTCCATCTCAGGATTCGGGAATATCTTTCCGTTTTGGTTTACACCGACCTTGACGACCGTGTACTGGAGGCACCATACACGCACTTGAATCTCACGCAGCTTGTTGAGGAAAGGCTGGAATGAGGGACTACTCGGCGGGACACGTGTCATACCGATGCGAATTTCGTCCTCATGCATTGCCGATACGTGAAGCATGCAGCTCAATTTGATGAGAGCAGCCGATGTCGATTTGAGATGGTCTTCATCGACAATGTCGTACGCGGAGCTATCATTCAAAGCCAACGAAAGTGCCGTGATCAGTAGATCATCCAGCGATTTGAGCATCTTCAACACTAACGGCGGTCTAGTTTCTGGAGCGTTCTTGAGATAACTGTCGCTTTCCAAATCCGCCGTGAGCATCTCGATGGCTTTGAGCTGGCATGAGAACTGTTTCGTCGAATATTTGATGCTGGCATACGCGTCGCTAAGTCGTGTCCAGAGGAAAAGACGCAGTTCCGTGCTAGTTCCCAACAAAAACCTCCAAAGATCCTGGAGGCTTTGGCTTGCACACTCCATGATGGGCACTTTCTTCGTATTGGAGCGGCCAGATGCCTCTTCTCCGTCTTCTGCCGAATCCTCGGATGGCAGGGTGACGTAAACAGACCCTGGATTGAGGACGGGCTCAAGGTTATCAATGACGGCAACTGGGTCGCTAACATTGTCCTGGAAGAGTCCGAGGAAGAAGTCCATAGTGGTGAGCTTAGAGATCTCTCTATCGGCCGCCGCCTCCGAAATTTCAGGTATCACCGGATTATTCGGAAGTAGTAGTTGATCAATCCCACTTTCTGCGAGAAAATCTCGTAAACTGGTCCAGCACTGCAGAATGTACTCTCTCGACGCGTTCTCCGTAAGAGTCGTGGAAAAGATGGCAGCCCAGAGGAAGCGGCCAGTCAAGTCTTCGTTGCCTTCTTCTGCGGCGTCCCTCAGCAAAGCTGAAGCCATGTCTAGCCACCGACCCAAGCGACCCCTGGCTTCAACGCGGATGCTGTAGTCAACGACACTGTTGGGGTTGGTGATTCTCTCATACACGTCAAGGTGAATCTCGAAGAGCATCTCGACAATGTGTTTAACAAACCCAAATTCCTTGTTCGCATCGTCTGATTGTCTCGCGCGGTCCAAGTCGTAGTTGATGGCTTGAAGGATATCCTGATCGAACCTACTGATGACTTGGACGACGGCCGTCTTCAAGACATCTGACCACTTCGTTTGGAGATAGCTGGGACATATCGTCTTGATCCATTCGTACGCAACATCCTGGGCAGTCATCCAGGAGGAATTTACGCGCTTTACAAAAGCAGTGATGCCCTGCGTCTCCTTGAAGGGTGGTATGATTGACATCTTCTGAGAACCCCCTTTGGCATGCTCAAGGAAAGAAGACAAGCTTAGTGATGCCTGTGCCTGTTTGTTGAGCAAGATTTTCGCATTCTCCTCGCTGAAAGAGACGATCGCATTGCGGAGATCCAAGGTCGCTTGGTTTTTTATGGAAGCGCCGCGTTCCTCTGCAGCAAGGGAGTCCAACACTTCGCTGATGCGGTCTAGAGTGTCCTGATTCGTGACTCCGATGTTTTCCAGCATGTTCTTAGTAGCCTGGAACAAATTTTGGTCGGTGGCTTGATAAGGGGCCAGCTGGGACGCAAGCACGGCACTTGGGTCCGGAACTTCTTCTGCGGCTGCTGTCTCTCGCCTCCTAATACGCTTACTCCTTTTTTCGACGAGGCTCTCCTCCTCTTGGCCCTCGGGATTGCCAGCTGCTGAATGGGATCGCTTTCGAGAGGGCTGGGAGGCGCTTCGACCCTTGCGAGTGCTCTCGGCAGGTTTGGGGGTTTCCTTCGCAGCGGGCTCCACGCTCTCTGTCTTTCTCGTAGTTTCCTGCTTGTCCTCCTGGGCCGAGTTCTCGCCCTTTTCTTTGCCATCCGAGCCGTTTGCTTGTACTTCCTGCTCTGGTTGGCTTTCCATAACCACGTCATCATCGTCATCCGTTTCAGGAAGCTCAATGACAATGCCGCGGCTTGTCTGCCCCATTTCGAGTATGAACTGCACGAGTGCCATACCCAAGTCGGCCCATGATGCAGTTGGGACCTCTACAGTAAGACGGGCGAGGCCTGCTTCCTCGACATTGGTGCGGGCGGACCCAGTTTCCTTTGTCGGATTCGGCAAATACGGCATGGGATCAATGTGTCGTTTGATGAAGTCGGGCATGTCTCTCTTTACCCAAGGACCCATGATGGGGTGAGACAAGGCGATCTCATCCGACAGGGCTTGCAGCTGGTCCTTGAGTTGTTGACCGGCGAATCCTTCTGCCAAAGATGGTGGCTCGACCTCGAGAACAGCGGGGTCATCGTCGAGTTCGATAGCAGCTTCGAGGCAGTATCTGTTGATTCTGGAGCTCTTCAACGATGCAGCAACACGGGCTGTACGTCGCCACAACTCTGCATCGGACGGATCGCGGTCAAGAGCGGCATTGAAGTCGACCAGAGCGCTATGCATATTTTGGAGGGCATCGTCCTTCTCGAAGTAAGACGACGCATCGTCTCCGGCGGCTCGGGCGGCATGTCGGGTGCGATCAAGGAGAAATTGACCGCGGTTCTTGTATGCAAGGAAGAAGGCTTGAGGAAGACTGCTGCCGGTGGTATCAACATCGGCAGATTGAAGATCGAGAGTGCCGGCGAGAGCGGGATCGGCGAGTAATTGATCTGGCTGCCTTTCTGCCCTTTCGTACTCGGTAGAAGCCTCGGGGTATTTGAAGATTTCGGACTTGAAGAGATCGTCGTAGGCGTCGGAAGCTTCGTCGAAGAATCGAGGGCCTTGAGCATGCAGCTTCAGAGCATTCTGGAAGCGCTTGAGAGCTTCATCGACCTGAGAAGCAGTCAGTATGGGTTGGAATATCGGAGCGATACATCGGCGCGTACATGAAGCTCGCGGGTGGTGTCGACCTCATCATCCGAGTTCTCCTCGGCTTCGACGTTGATCGCTTGGAAAGCCGGCTACATATTGGGGTTAGCTTTGGTCGCAAGGGCAAATATTTGATGACATTTCATATACGAACCATATTGTCGGCAGGGTCTTGCGACCGGATTGATTATAACGACGATCTACTATATATAATAACGTGCGATGTGAAGGAGGGGATCGGATGTTCAAAAGGATGTGGTTCTAGACGAATGCGCAGCCATAATGACCTTGGGGAAAATCGATGCGCGTGGCTTCGAGGATTGACGCGACATGAATTCAGGAACGTTAAATTGGTTGCTTGCTGGCGGTACGTATCGCACTACACCAGCTACCTAGGTAGGTAGTGGAAGGGAGAGCCCACAGGGCACTTGCAGCTTTCGCGTCAGACTCTGGCCAGGGGTTAGCTTCTAGCTTCCAGCTCCAAACTCCCTGATAGGCTGATAAGTATACCTCAGGTAGTTTGCTCTGTATCCGTACAGGACAATTAGGCCAAGGCTCAGGGGGTTGCGCTGTTCGAGTGTCCGTGCAGCGACTCAAGCGAGGTGCGTTACATAAGCATCCAATTCGGTACCAGCTAGCATCTCAGCACCTCAGGAACATGGCAATGCGGCAAGCCGCAAACCACCTCACACCTAGAGCCTACTGCGTAGAGGTGCGTTGGACCCACCCGATCCAGGCCCCGGCCACGTTTGAGTCCCGCCGGCCGTCGAATGGAACTTGGGAAAGCGCCCGTGGTCTAATTAAATCGTGGCTCTCTGGCGGTTGGCCCTGTCAATCACCTCCAGCAAAGCAGCGTGGCAGCTCCATCTGCTCTCCATCACGTCTGTCCCCTGCCAATGACAGGCCTCAACTCCCTTGTCAGTTGCACAACGTCAATTATTATCGAGGTGTTCCAAGCTGGCAACAGGTTCCCAGTCCTAGACTCCTGGCACACGTACGGAGCACGGAATACGGAGTAGGTAAGTAAGTACCTATCTGAGAAGGATACAGAGAGTCGTGGAGTCCAAGCTTGCCCACAGTGCCTACCGTCACTACCTACCTACCTACCTTTCTTTCCCCAAGTGTCCAGTTCACGCCGCACGCCGCAATCCCACCTCCAAGTCCACCTTGCACAAGCTGTGCACTTCAATCCTCCATCCCTCGTCAATCTCACCGACCACACCTCGAACCGCCTCCAATCACCAACACCCATCCCTCTACTCCCAGCCATTCTCTCGAGCGTGCGGGCCAGAATCGCTCATAGGCGCCTTCTCCTGCGCGCACACATGCATCGAATCGTTCGCTCATAACACCGTATCCAGTCCATCCTCATCGAGAACGTTGCTTCCACACTGCGCGCCGCCAAAGCTTGACACGCAACAACCGCCGCCATGGTTGCGCCGGCTGTGCCCGAGTTAGTCTACCATCCCCATTCCATCCGTTCACTGCTTCTAATTCTAATCTGTTTGCCAGGCTTACCGAGGAGATTCTCTCTGAATCAATTGAAGCCCGAACCGAATCCCTCATCTCCCTTCGGGAGCTTGGCCCTCCCGATCTTGTCCATCTCCTGAAGCAGGCCACGAGAAACCCTGGCAAGCAGGTAAATGATAATCCACATCCAACAAACCTATAGCTGTGCTAATTAGCACCCTGCTGTAGATCGGAGTCTACCACCACGTCACCGGCGTCGACGCTTCGTCCTCGGCCAGTCTTGCTGCCTACATCAACACCCTGACCTACCGCGAGCATGGCCAGGCTGTGCAAACGAAGATCTCGGAAGGTCTCTACTGGTACGCGAACCTTTTCAACATCAACACAGAGTTCAAGTAGCTAATTCCCTGCCAGCTGTTACAATGCCTTCTCTCGACTCGACATGCGGGTTCATGTAACGATCCCTGGAACCGTCGAAAGCTACTGTGTGGACGAGCGAGGCGAGAAGCGCAAGGCGACGGATGACTTGTGGCTGGAGACCTACCTGTGCAGTGTCCTTCGAGCCTACTCGTACGCGGATGATGGTAGCGGAGAGACGATTCGGAAGATTATGGGTGTGCGCAGATACAACCCTGTTACCAACACCGAAACCGAACACCGCTTCCTCGGCGCCGCCGAGCAGCTTTTCTTCCGAGGTACCCATATATTTGAGAACATTTCAGGGTTTCTGTGCTAATGGTATCGTAGGCTGGCAGCTGGGCTCAGACTCTGTCGTTCAAGTGCCGAACAATGTCTCGAACCACCTGACCGCAGGCCTCTTGAAGTACTTTCAGACCACGGGACGCCATGCTTCCGGCATCAACCTCTTCGAGAAACTCAGAGACCAAAACATCGAGGTCTCCTCCCTCTTGGCCAAGGTCCTCTTCATGGGCAACGAGGAAGTCCAAGGTGTCAAGGTGCTGCATCAGGCACTCAAAGAGTCGCCGATGGACTATGTTATGCTCGATACGCAAGCCGAGTTCCTCCTCAGAAAGGCGCAGACAGCCGCAACGCCAGAGTTGAAGGAAGAGAGACTTCGCTTGGCCCTGGGCTGCGCCGACCGCAGTACCATTGCCGCTCCTAGTGAATTCGGCACATGGGCGAGACTGGCGCAAGTCTACGTGGCAATGGAGGACTGGGAGAATGCCCTGACCATCCTCAACTCTTGCCCCATGTTCACATACCAGGACAAGGACGCGCCTCAAATGCCTGAGCCGAAGGATGTTCACCTCCCAACTCTTCCCGAGACCCGCTTGGATGAGATCGACAGTGAACCCGAGTCTAGATACTCTGAACAGGTCGATGCTAGTCTCCTGAACCTTCGTGCTTCGGTTTATAAGGGAACCTTCAAGCAGGCTTACGGCATCCTGACCGAGATGACTTCAAAGATTGGATGGGATCAGCTTCTCAAGATTAGAAGCACAGTCTTTGTCATGGAGGACGAATACCGCTCCGAGAAGCAGGAAACCTCGCAGCCTCAGCGTAACCCCAGCACCGACGGCCTTCGTGGAACCCCAGACCCGACGACAAATGGCGACCGATCAGACTCGGAAAGTGACGACGAAGAGGGAGATGAGGAGAAGAAGGCGAAGCCAGCGGATACTGATTCTACTGCCGAGACATTGGCACCAAATGGACAGACAGAGGCTGTGGAGAAGCCTACCCATGCCATCGACCCTGGTGAACTGAAGGGCGATGCGGAGAATGTAAGTGTTCAGTCTTCCCCTTGGCTGAAGCCAAGTTAACACTTATCAGGGTGCGCAGACCGACGACCATCTCTCTAAGCTGAACAACAAGCGGCTTTGCGAGCGCTGGCTTGACAGCCTCTTCATGGTGTTGTATGAGGACCTGCGCGTCTACACGATCTGGCGCACACAGATGGCCCAGTATCGCGCGCAATCCATGCAGTATAAGAAGTCGGCTGAGGAGTGGGAAATTCTAGGCTCTCTGGCGGAGAGACTTCAACACCCAGAAGAAGCTGTCGAGGCCTATAGAGCGTGCCTCGCCGCAAGATTCAGCCCCAAGGCCTTGACTGGCATCCTTCGCGTGTTTGAGGAGGGCAAGAACACTCGCGAAACGGTCGCGTCGGTCATTCGTCTCGTCACCTGGCAGTACAGATGGTACTCTGAGTTCTCACCAGAGCTCCTCCATACAGTTCGGACACTCATTGAGGACGAGGGTGCAGTCAAGATCAGAAGCATCATCCAAGCTACCAGCCTCCCTCAGAACGTGCTCGATCTGACCCATCACTATGCTGCACTATGCGCCACTTTCCGCAGCAGCGGCACCGACGGTTAGTTTTGGGCGTTCTTTTGAGCCAGGGGCCGAGCAATAGCATCGGCAAAAAGGCGTTGATGAATCGGAGGGATTTTGTGGTTCAAGATTTTCAAGCCTAGGATGTGACTTGCAGGAGGCAGTTGGGCACTCACATGTTCCACCATCACAGCGTGCATCGAAGTCATCTTGAAAGCACGCTGTGCTGGCTTTGATTGAAAAAAAAAGAAACATAGACCACCCTTACTTGGGGTTCAAGGCTATAACGCAGAGTCAAATGATACCTAGTTCTTCACTTGAAAGATGAGTTCAGATTGGGCAATATGAAGTGAGTGTGCTAGATGCGAGCTTACAACAGAATTCTAGGCTGGCCAGCACTGGGCCTCAACAGCTTTCCGGAGCAAAATGCCCGAAGGAACGGAGCACACCGTGGCCGGCCCGCTCACTCAGATTCATCCTATGTATAGCGCCGATCACGCAGCAAAGCTTTAAAGGGGTACTGATATCACCCCTACGTCAAACCGTGGATTTTCTGTTTTAATCATGGCTGCATCGAGGGTCTCTGGAGTTTGGACGATAATGCGGTGGCGGCATACCATCTGGCCAGTTCGATCAGTGTCGATGAGATATCGATGAGATAAAACCATCCCCACCAGCACCACATTTTGGCGGATGCAGTGATTTCATCGCACAGCGATGGGTGATATCATGAAGATGACGTCGCCAGGTTTGACATGAGACGGCAAGCCTGAATGAGACTCGACGAAGACTACATAAGTTGATGATTGCCGACCGTGGAATGCCTCTTCATCATTGCAATCCCAAGCAAACCAAACCTCCAAACACAACCTTCAAACAACTGGTTCATAAGCACCCGCTATTTCATTTCACTTATACCCAACATTTCAAACCACGACTCAAAGCAAATCCTACAATAACAACATACAAAATGGCACCCTCAAAGGATCAGCTCATGGAGACGGCAGCTCAGGCCCAACTCGACATGAACACATACCAATCCAAGACGGGCGCCGCCCGCCCCCAGGGCAACGACGACGCCGGCGTCTCCAACATCCAGACGGAGAACCGCTTCCCGGGCGCCACCGTCACCGTCCAGGGCGACCCGATCAACAACGTCTCGTATAAGCCCGAGCAGCCGCCCAAGAACCCGGCCGACAACGACGACGACGTCGTCCCCGCCAAGAAGATTTCTTCGCTCGGCACGCAGGACCAGAAAGATGATATCCTGCTGCAGGGCGAGGGTGCCGTGCGGAATAACGTGGGCACTAAGGCGCCTGGTGTTGGCGGGGAGAAGTTCCGCGGTTCGGATTACTATGTTCCTGAGAGCGTGCCGGATAGCATCTCGGCGGAGGGGAACATTGCGCCTGAGAGCGTGACGCAGGCTTCTGCTGAGGCTGAGAACCCTCGGTAAAGGGTGAGGGTTCGGGAGTCTGATAGGGATTACTTTTACGGATGGAAGGATACCAAGCATTGTATGGTTGTTATGATCATGATGTACAACAGTTATGAATCTGCCGAAAGGCTGTAAATCAAATGCACATCTGCAACGCAAACTGGAAAAGCGCAAGTGGGAAGAAAGTTACATGCCTGAGTGAAATTGTCACCAGGTTCTGGACGATTATCTGGTCTCGATTATAGAGTAATGAAGACCAAGCCATCCGAAATGCATTTTGATTGCATTCAAAAAAAAAAAAAAAACACATTCAGAGAAAGACCTAAAAGCACAAGTGAAGCCCAGTTATAGCATTTATGGTGCCACATGAAGACAGAGTTGTTGGTCAAGTTGATTGAATTTTGACATGACTTTTCATGAAGTACTTCTGCATAAAATATTCGACTATTCCCTCATCTTGTGACAAGATGAAATCCGCCAACGCCTCGCTTCGAATCGATCCAATCCGCCGTCTAATCTATGATGCGCATGCCATGATAAAAAAGAAAAAAAGGAAAATGAGAAAAGAATCAAGAAACGCCCTCAAGTAGCAGGCTGGTAAACATCAGCAACAAACCGATCGCCCAACACCTCCCTAGCATCCCGACCCAACACCTCGCTCAAATTATTCAAGAAATCATCAACGGCCCTCGGCCTAGCGCACGCAAACACGAGAGCGCCATCCTCGATGTTCTTGACCAGCTTCTCCCGGACACCAGCCTCGAGCATCGCATCCTGCGCCCTCCTCTTCTCCTTGTTACTCCCCGTCAACCTGAGGATATCGAGAATGCCCGCCTCGCTTGCTTCCTGCACCGCTTCGCGCACGAGAGACTCGTCGGCCGCCTTGAAGCCAGCGAAGAGGCTGATCGCGGGTCCCTTGGTGGACTTGTCGCCCGAGGACCGAAGACGCTGGAGACGGTTCTGTAGGAGTCCGCGGACGGGGGCCATGCCGGATCCCGTTGTGAACACGATCATCGGCTTGTCCTGGTTCTCGGCCATGGCCTGCAGGTGCGATGAAGGGCGGATCTTGCAGGTCGCGGCACCAAAGGTCTCGAAGCAATTGAGGTACTTGTCCGAGAATTTGCCGTTGGCGTGGTGCTGCACCAAAAGATCCAGCGTGTTTCCATTCTTTTGCTTCGTTCTCGAACCGTCAGAGGCAATGGAGTATTCCCTCGGCTGGATCGTCGGCATCGCGTTGCACAGCGCATCCAGCGTCACGGTCTGTCTCCAATTGGCAGGAATCTGGTGGACCACATTTTCAATAGGAACCTTGGCCAACGTCTCCGGCTGGGGAAGAGACAGCCACTCTGCCCACTGTGTAGACTTGAAAGGCTGGTCCAAGTCGGCAAACCGCTGGAAGAACTCGCCTACGGTAGGCTCGCCGGGAAGACTAAGCCGCTCTTCGGCCTGCACGCCGAGGGCGCCCAGGACGCGAGACACCTTGTTCTGGGAGTTTGGCGGCAGAATCCAGACGCTGCCCATGGTCGGGTACTCGCGATCGCCCAGGTCGAGGGTGACCCTCTTCATGCCGTCCGCGGCGGTGCCAAGGACAGGCTGTCCGACGACCTTTGCCTGAAACCACGGACGGGTGTCAAAGGGTCTAACCTGGCGAGCGGTCCGCTGCACGTCACTCGTCTTGTTCTCTTCTTGTGGCGGGCTTGACTTTTGGAGCCCCGCGAGAACCTGATCGAAGAACTGGCCGAGGACGGACCACGGAGGGTTCTCTGTCGCGGTGTCGGCTTCGCGCATACCAATGAGTCTCTGGGCATCACCTTTGCTCAAAAGCTCCTCGATATCCATGGCGGCCTGGTTGTAGGTATCGGCGTACTCGAGGGAGCCGTTTGCAAAGATGGCATACTGGCACGAGATGGCCTTGGGATTCCTCGCCAGCGCGTCGGCGAAGGCCTTGCCGTTCTGTGGGATCTCACCGCGACCCGTCGTGCTGGCGACGATGACCAGCACGTCATCGGGCTCGACCATGGAGATGGGCAGGGCGTTGAGCGTGCACGGCACCACGACGGACCCCAACTTGGGGTTGATGTCGCACGCGTGCTGCAGCTGCGCGCACAGCCTCTTGCAAAGCTTGATCGCGACGTTGCCCGAGCTGCAGAATCCGATGTAGATCCTGCGCCCGGGCCCCCGGGGGCTTAACGGCGTCAGGGGCGTGGTGGGCCTGAAGGCCTGCTGCTGCTGTTGCTGCGAAGCCGGAGGAGGGATGGGGAGAAAGGTCGACGGGGAGGAGGCGGTGCCGAAGGGGGAGACTGGCGTGACGGGCCTCGTGAGGGAGATGGAGGGCACCACGGGGATGGAGATGTTGAGCTTCGTGTCCGAGGCGTAGTGGTGAGAAGGCCGCGCCGCGGGGCGGGCCCGTCGCTGCCGGCGCCAGGCCTTGATGGGATCTTGGGCGTGGCGGCAGATCAAGGGCTTTGGTTGGTAGTTTGGTGAGCCGCCGCGGTGCCAGATGGGAATGATGGATCCTTGAGGCGGTGCCAGCCAGTACGGGTCAGAGGGGAGACGGAAGCCGTTGTTCATGAGGTGCTCGTCATCGAACTGGGCGAATTGCTCGGCCGCGCCAAGGGAATCTGACATTCTGACACCGGCCTGAGCGAAAGACCAGTATGTGGCGTAGTTGAGCTCGAGCTGCGCGCGGGACTGGTTGGTAATGTTAGCAGACGCATCTCAGATGTAAGCAACATGCAAGAGATGCTCACCAGCACCGCCAGACGCTCGTAGTCGGGGAGGTCATCTACATCGCCATCGACCAAGCCGATCGCCTTGGCGACCTGCGGAAGCGCGTTGTAGCGGAAGGAATCTGCGAGGTTGCGAACACCGATCTCGGCGTCCATGAACCTGCGTTTGCTTTGTCAATGATGTAATTCTTGCACCTCAAAACAAGTTCAACTCACCATCCAATAAAGGGCGCAGCGGTGTACTGGACACCGCCGATACTGAAGCCAAGGCGGCTGAGTGCCGGCGCGGGAACCCAACGCAGGCCAAGGGTCTCGAGCTCAGGGTGCTTGGGATGGCGGATATGTACCAGAGGGAATGCGTCCTTGGGGAGCTCGGTGATGACGGGCTCTTCTCCCTCGGCCATGGTGACGAGGGGAAGCAGATCCCATTGTGAGCGGAAGCGCGGCGGTGTCCAGCCGAGCTCGATGATGGCGTTTGTGAGTTCCACGTTGGCGGGGTCTCCGAGGATTGTGCCGTTTGATTGTTGGTACTTGGCCGTGTTAGTCAATTGATCGCTTCTCATACTGGGAGGTAGAAAGACTTACCCCCGCAAAGGACAAGAGTTGTGAGTTCCAGATCATGGGACCGCGGCTGTCAATGTCTCTGGGAGGGAAGACAAAGACTGTCGGGTTGATTTCACCCGAGTTGTAGGCCACTCTCAAGTTCTCAATGAGAGTCTCGGCCATCTTTTTGCTTGTGCGAACGTGTCTCAGGTCGCATAGCCTGCCAAAGACTATTAGTAAATAACTCGACATCACATCCGAATCTTTCTCATACCTCAAGTTGCTATACTCTGATCGCATGATGCACTTCCGAGCATGCTTCCAAGCCGTCCGAAGCCCGAACTCGAGTTCTTCAAAAGTCTGCGTCCAAAGACCACCCACCAAGCCAACCGTTGCTGCCGGTGGCGCCTCCGATCCGCATTCGGACGCCGTTGTGAACTTGCCCTCTGTCGAGTTCTTTTGAATCTCCTGAAGGACCTCGTGTGCCCGGTGGTGAAGCTGCTCCGTGTCAATGAGACCGTCCTTGTACATTTGCTGGAGGAAGTCGAGCGCATCCTCGCGGACTTGGGCGTAGGACTGATTCCGGCCAACGCGCTCCTCGTCCATGTGCGTCATCCGACCGGACTGGCAAAACTTTGTCGTGCAGCCCGTCGAAGAGAGAGATGGATATTGTGAGCGGATGTTGGCGAACTCTTGTTCCGCTGAGATTTGCCGCGGCGGCTGGGCGAGCGTGCCTTGAAGGAATGGACACGCCATTTTGTCGTGTGTGAGTATGTGTGTAAGTATGTAAGTTGAGATTGGTAAGACAGGGATGTCGACCGGGGAAGTCGAATACTACTACTTCTTCTTTTCCCCAAGACTTTTGAGGGTACGGAACCCAAAAGAGGCTTAAAGTATAGAAGTGAGAATAAGGTATAGTAACTTTAGTGTGTCTGTAGATCGGTGGTATTCCAAGTGCGAGTCAGAGTGGAGTCTTTGAGTGAAAATTGGTGATGGCGGCATCGGCATCCAAGCGAATGACTAAGTTTAAGCGCCAGTTAAGTGGTTGTTGATGATCTTCCAGACGGGAAAGCCAAAAAAAAAGAGTGGACGAACCCTCCAACTTTATAACACTCCAATGTAAAACAAAGGGAATAAAGGACAATAGACTCCAGACCAAAGAAATCTTAGGACGACTTAGTGTTTTGGAGAGAGCTGAGCCCTGCCGTGGACGTCCATCTTCCTGATTTGGCTTTGCATCACCATCTGATATTGGACACACTGGTTCCCCTTCCTTCTGGAGCAGCCACATGGGCCCGCTTCCCTCCAACAAGATGATTGCACATCAGTCAACCTCGTGCTCGAGGTAATACAATCAACAACCACCACTATGTGTTGAGGAGGGGTGGTACATGCTGTCTCAGGCAGGCTGGTGCAACTTGGGCTGAATCCATTGGTAAGGGCTGGTTGTCGAGAAATGTTGTTCAGCCCCCGAATAAAGGGGCAAGCTGTATGGTTCCCAAAGCCACCGCAATGTCAACACTTGTTCGTTTACGAAGCATGGGGATTTTGCACACGAGGCAGTAAACGGGCATTGGATTTTACGAAAGTGGGGGATGACGGCGATGAGAGCGTCCTAGCGCTGCCATTCCATCTGACATGGAGGGCAGTCCTCGGGACCGATATTGTTAGCTGGCCGAAATGTTGTTGGTGAGGAGGAGGCTGAGCTGAGGAATCTCTCACTTCTCACTTACAACATGCACGGCCGTTTCCCGCTCAAGTTAACCTTTTCCCAGACAAACGGCTTCAATCGTCGATGAGGGGTCTGTCTCTCTCTGTCTGGTGTTTGATTTATGTTCTAACCCTCACACTCTCTCTCTGCCAAAACCTCGGCCCAAGAACCAGTTACACGGTACCGATCCATCGGAGTACACAGACGTACAGCACCGATTGAGTAATTATCTGTAGATCACGATCCGCGACATTATACGCAAGAAATGACACAAAGTTGGCTAATGAATACAACTGACGGCTGACTGCAGCTTGCTTTCTGCGAATGATCGGCAACCATAGAGGCGCATTTGGGCGTAAGTCGGCAAACTCGAAGGAGTGTATCCTCCGGACCAACACTCAGCCGTGCTGAGTGAGGCGATTCACACCCACCAGTCGTGAAATGTCTCCCGTTCGGCGATAGGCGCGGATGCATCACGAGACCATTGGGCCTCATCCGCCAAGTGTGCGTGTGTTCGCTAAGTGTGCGTGTGTTCGCTAAGTGTGCGTGTGTTCGCTAAGTGTGTGCGTGTTATGTGTGTGCCTCTCTCGTCTGTCATACGGCGTAATTTATTGCCAATTTCTCCGCGGCCGAATCTTGAGCGCGCAACTCGCGTGGCTCGCCAACGCCATTGCATGAGACTCTTCAAGCCATGGCTGCCTTTCAAGACCTCAGCTGGGCCTGGACAGTCAGCCCGTTTTACCCCCGTGATGGCTAATCCTGGTCTTCCATCATTGGAACTAACGATTTCGAAATGTAACAGAAACCCTTTTGGAATGTTCTATCGAGCCCGTGGCGTTGTCTCTGTTCGGATCCCGGGTTGCGAATTTCGTCCCCGGAGGCCACGAGGAGGCGATATATGAATGTGGGGATACAAGACTCCAAAGAATATAGTGAGGCGCTGATCTAGAAGGCCTCGAGGTGGACGAGGACGGGCTATCGAACGTGAATATCGCGTGGAGACCACGCCTTCTTGCCCTCATTTGCTCGTCTTCTTCGCAGCTGGAGCCGAGGTGGCTGAGATTCGTGATACAAGACAGGAGAAAGAAACGAGGCAAAACCTGAACCCATCTTCCCCTTGTTCCTGAGGCGCTCGCCTCAACTTTTCAGCAGCGCCTTTTTGGAAGACCACATGGCAAATGAGTCAACACAACAATCTAAAAACGGGGCGCGTTTCGTGCGACGTTGCGAATCGTGGGATTTTCTAGAACAGAGTAAAGCTGCTTCCAATATCAGGTCATTCGGTCGCGAAAAGAGTGTCTGTCGTTCTCTCTTTCTCTAACATGACATCAAATTTCGTGAAACCAAACTCGAGATGTCAAGGCGGTGGCACAGCATGGAGATGGGACCGCCCCGCCCGGATGAGATCTGCAAGACCGAGCTTGACAGCAAGCAGACCCGGGTTTTCTTGCAGGGCAAATCCGCAGTCGGCGGGCCTTGAAAATCTGCCTTCCGTATCTTGCTGGTGCTTCCAGGTTAATTGTATGGTGCTGTTGGGGCGTTTCGGCCGATGACCGGCGGTGCAGCTTGACGTGCCGCTGCTGCATCGTTGAAAGAGGCTTCCGAAGCGGTGCGACATCGCCAAGGCTGGAATGAAGACCTTCCAGAGACGAATGACACTCGTCACGTCGTAGATGTGCAGCAAAGATGCTCAAGGTTCTTGGCTCTCAGCAGAAACCGAGGAAGTCCTCCATCATTGGTGTGATTTGGGTTGGACGCCAGCGAATTCAAAGTGGTGTTACCGGCACATCTGTTTCTGTTAGCGGGATGGTTTCGCAGACTAGGGTGATCGACATGCGCGGACTGCTGACTAGCTTGGGCACGCCAAACAGTGTCTGCTTTGGCCAATGCTGGATCGCAAGCTATCTTGCTTTCACGTTGGTTGCGGTCGAGAGACGAAATTGACGACGCAGAAGTCGTCAAAATGTCCCATGAGATGCAATCTGAGCAATGACGATGCGAGGTGAAAACACGAAGACGGACGATAGAACTCTCGTCCAACGTGGCTTGTGCGGCAACATTCTAGTTCGTCCTCGCGGATAACCCATGCCATGGTTCGGCTCGACTGAATTTCACCGAGGGATCCAAAGTTTTGACGAAAAAAAGACGTGAGTTTGCAAGCCTGAGTCTACTTGTTCTATCCAAAAATTCCCAATTTTTACTCTGTTCTCAGTTAGCGATGGGTCCTAACGAGTACCTGCAAAGACGAGACAGGTGATTCAAGCTACGAACCCATTTCGATCGTTCCGGGGGGCTTCGACGTGATGTCGTATGTGCAGCGGGCGACGCCGTCAACTTCGTTGATGATACGGGTCGAGATCTGAAGGATTCAAAGTCAGCAACCATAGTTAACGAACAGGAGGAGGAGCTAGTCATACCCTCTTAAGGAGGTTGAAGTCGAACTCGTAAGGCTCCGCGGACATGAAGTCCAGAGTCTTAACAGCGCGGAGACTAAGAATGATTGTCAGTTGATTGATCGGGGGAGATGACCAAGGAGAGAAGCAAGCAAGGTTGCCAGCAGGAGTCGCTTTAGTGATGGCGCTTACATGATGATGTAGCCGTAAACCTAGGAAAGTTAGTCGTCTGCTTTATCCACATATCGGAAGGGAGGGACATACTCTGGCATCACCTTGAACTCCAACAGCTACAGAGACATCATTCGTTAGCAAAGAAACCGGCCGGTGTGACGAAATTTGAACACCAAAAAGTCTGGCAACGTACCCTTGTTGGAGTCCACAGCAGCATATGCTTGGGACATCTACAAAATGGTAAGCGACTATCCCAGGAAAATCAAAGGGCTGACACTCACCTCATTGTAGATTCCGGCTTCCTTGATCATAGAAATGAAGATGTTGTCGGCAGCACGGGCAATGGCGACTCTCTCGGGTGTCACCTCTCCAATAATGCGGATGGCAATCTGACTGGTGTTAGACTAGCTACGTGTTGGACGGCTGGCGATCTGGTACTTACACCAGGGCCGGGGAACGGGTGACGCATGACCAGATCTTGGTGGATGCCCAACTGTCTGCCGAACTCTCTGACCTCATCCTTGAACTATTTGCGGGAGTCAGTATGGGATGTAGAAAATACTTTATGCGAAAGCGAAAATGCAGTGAAAGTGCGACGCAGTTTCGTGTCGGCCAAATAGACACAACCCCGCTTTGAGTACATGTCCTACTGTCATCCGAGTGTGACAGATCGCAGGATGAGGACGGAAGAGGGTTTGGGGAAACGAACCAATTCTCTGAGGGGCTCGATGAGTTTGAGCTGCAAGAAAGTCAGCTAGAGTAAACAGAGGACAGGAATTGGAAGCGGTGTGGTCTAGCGACCAGGGAAGCGGAAGACCTCCTTCCCGTAAACACTCCAGCCGCTTCAGAAGAATCTTTACCTTCATCTTCTCCGGAAGTCCGCCGGTGTTGTGGTGAGATTTGATAGTCGCACTGGGTCCCTTGAAGGAGAGGGACTCGATAAGATCGGGGTAAAGTGTGCCCTGGAGGAACCAAGTGATGGGTCCGGCATTCTCGGTGTTCTCGGCCTCCTTCTCCAATCTAAGAGCCTCCTTCTCGAAAAGGTCGATGAAGGTTGCGCCGATGCTGCTACCGTATTAGAGAGGTCAATACATGTAATCAAGTATACTGACATCTTGCGCTTCTTCTCGGGCTCGGTGACACCCTTCAGGCGACCAAGGAACAGCTCAGCTCCGTCAGCGACGGTGAGGTTAATGCCAAGGTGCTTCTCAAGAGTCTCCTTGACCTGCTCGCACTCGTTGAGACGCATGACGCCTATCACAATGAACTTAGTATACCGTTTTGCGCTGATTGTGGTGCCGTGGTCCTTACCGTTGTCGACGAGGATGGCGTGGAAGCGATCGCCTGATGAAAAGTTAGTCTCCCCCTGAGCTTCTTGGATGGGCATCTAATCATACCAATGGCTTCCTTCATAAGCTTGGCAGCGACAGTGGAATCGACACCTCCAGAGACGGCGCCGATGACCTGTGCCTTGTCGCCGACAAGGTGTCTGATGCGGATGATCTCCTTCTGAATGAAGTCCTCCATCACCCAGTTGGGTCTGGCGCCACTGATATCAACGGCGAAGTTCTTCAGGATCTCACTACCGCGAGGTGTCTAAGTTGCTATGTCAGTGTGCGTTCGTGTCATCAAAACTGTGCGGACGGCGTCTGAGCCGGCGGTCCTCCATAATAATCAATGGCCCCATAACGGGCGCCATGCTGATCGCCGGAATATGATCGCCGTATTCGGCGAGGAAAATGCCTCCGTACTAAGGGGGTTTTCGGAAGTTATTCAACTTACGTGCTCCTATGCAAAGTTAGTCGTATTTCTACAAAGGTTCAGGGGAATTAGTAGGACTAACCAGCTCAGGGTGGAATTGGACGCCTGCAGGATTCAGAGTATCAAGTCAGCCATAGTCCAAAGCGTAGAGACGATGGTAACTGATAGAACGAGATGGCGTGGATTCGCCAGACTGTATAACGTTGGATTTTGATCGGGATCGACATACCGTAAATTGGCTTGGTCTGGTGGGCGATTCCGGCATACTCAGAGTTTGCCGTGCTTGCAACGACGGTGAATCCTTCGGGAAGAGCCACCAACTGCATTGATTTCAGAAAAACTGCTTCGGAACGTCCAAATGCTCTCTACTCAGGCTGATTTACCTTGTCGAAGTGACTCATGTATGCTACCGTCAAAGTCAGCATTGGGCAGCAGAGTATGAGGGGACTTCTGAAATATTTGGAAGCTCACCTTGCATTGTCTCTCCCAGACCAGCGAAGAGGCGATCGGTGTGGGAGTTGCCGGAGTTGAGGATAGTGACATCGGCGTGACCGTACTCTGCACAATGGACAGGTCAGAGTGACTGTTCTATAATCCAACTTGATCCCCCAAGAGTGACTGACCTCGGGCCTCTCCGCGGGCCACGTTCTTGGCGTTGATTCTCCAGGCGAGTTCCTGCACATAATTAGCCGGCTATTCGTCTCGATAGAATGTACCGCCGGAGTCTTGGTGTAAGACGAGAAAGCGTCCTCGTGCAGTCGAAAGCATGGGGGATATATCGGATCGAGCATTACCTGGCAACCGTAGCTGCACACATCGATGAGTACATGATTCCGCTACGAAGGTGTTGGCTAACATACCAGATACCCAAAATGGGAACACCGAGATCAAAGATCGCGGGGTCGACGTCTTTACAGTATCAGAAAGAGCTCTACTCTACTTGCTCAAGAGGTTTCCTTACGAGGAGAGTCCTGGTCGTAGACGGACGAGGGGCCGCCAGACAACACGATACCCTTGGGCTTGAAAGGAAGATCGGCCAGCTTGGTTGTGCAGGGCAGCATCTCAGCGTAGACCTTGAGGGATCTCAGGCGACGGAGGATGAGATGGCTGGTCTGGGAACCAAAGTCGAGAACGAGGATGGTCTAGAACGCAGTTTGTCAGTTATCTGAAATGAACATGACTTTTGCAGCCCCGAAGAAGTTTGACTGTGTCGACATCATTGGCGCTTGGTGACTCGTTTATTGCGGTTGTGTGGAGAATCGAGAGTTCGAGTGGAAGAGTTCGATAGGCGCGAGCTGTGTGCCAAAGCTCGTCGCGTGCCCGAGTATACGAGTTCTAGTATTGAGGAGGTCCTGCGCGGTCTGTTGACCGTTGTTTTTCGACTCCTCTGATATGACTCCCACTACCCCCTTAAGCTGTGTTGCATTCGCGCACGCAGCAGTAGTCGTGATCCAAGACTGTCGCAGGGTATTTCGATTCGCGAGGTCGACTCAATGCAGACATTCACGTGAATAGAAGAGTTCGGGAGGTCGATTTCGAGGATTCCAGCACTTTTTCGAGGTACTGGCTGGTCGTGTCGGTGATCGCGATGTGTTGTGGGCAGCGGGTTCCACATAGTCAAAGTTCCTGGGGGTCGTATTGGGGGGCATTGATGAGGGCGAAGGGAGTAGACGTACGTCAAACATGTTGTGAGGCGCCTCGGCCTCGGCTTCAATAGCGCTCGCCATCTTGAAGTGCTTGCTTGCTTGCTGGAAAAGGAGAATATGCGTGTTGTTGGCGGTCGTGTTTTGCGGCGAGAAGAAAAAAACGAAGGCGGAGGAGAAAAAAGTTTTGGTAAGAGTCAATCAACCGCCCGGCGCGGCACACCTGCGCATGGCGGGGGCGGGGCACTTTCTGTCCCTTATCTTATCGCTCCAGGGGTCCACCTCAGCCACCTTAGGTACAGCTCCAGCCACTCACTCACTCTACCTGACCTATCAAGGTGGTGTTCAGTGTCAATGAATTCAAGCAGTTGTAGAAGCTGAGATGTTATATCTTTGTAGATTTATTTCTTGTGATATTTTCTTCAAACGAATCAAGGCAGTATTATAAAGCTCAAGTAACAGACCTCCAGATGTAGTGAAATGAATCGTCATTTTCAGATGCCTCAGGGCAAGTACGATCAAGGGCACTGGACTGAGCCCAATTCAGCAAGGATGATGTCATTCATCGCTCCAGTGACATGGCCAAACCCGCCGAAATTTGAGGTTTCTCTCAAAGACATGAGCACTGCGTCTCATACATATAGGTGTCAAGATATTTGAGATCATTCCAAAATGTATGAGATATACGCTGTGAGTACATCCTACCTGGGGCGGTTGAGCCCTCACTCCTGACTGACAGATCCAGGCCGGTGCTGCGGCGGCGTTCACAGTAGACTGTCTCGTCTACCCTCTGGACACCATCAAGACCAGATATCAGAGCCAAGACTTTGTCAAGACGTATGCCTCGACATCAGGAAGCAAAGCGCCCCTCTTCCGGGGCCTCTACCAGGGCATTGGGAGTGTGGTGCTAGCCACATTACCGGCAGGTTAGTACACCAAGTCTCCCATACATTCTCGCGCATCACGGCGAGATACGATATGAACGGTACTGATAAGCTTGTAAACTTGCCAGCCGGGATATTCTTCGCCACGTATGAAAGCATGAAGAAAACCATCTCCAGCACTGATTTGCTCCCTCAGCCGTTTGTGCATGCCTCAGCCTCGGCCATTGCAGAGATGGGCTCATGCCTTGTCCTCGCACCAGCAGAAGTCATCAAACAAAATGCGCAAATGTTACGGAAGCAAGACAACAGCAGCAACGGTACCAGGCGATCAACATCCCTCGAGGCCCTGCGACAGGTCACAAGTTCCGGGGCGCAGAGGCGTCTCTTCTCCGGCTACACAGCCCTCGTCGCGCGCAACCTCCCTTTTACCGCGATTCAATTCCCCATCTTTGAGCATGTGCGAAAAACGGTCTGGACCTCTCGGTCGCAAGGGAGGGCAGAGGGCGAGGAGCAACGCCTCGTAGAAACAGCCGTAGTCACGGGGAGCAGCGCGGGCGCAGCGGGCGCGTTTGCGGCCTTCATCACTACGCCGAGCGACGTCGTCAAGACGCGGATGATGCTGAGCGCGGGAGAAGCCGGCGATAACAGCCACAGCCACATCAATTCGTCGCCTTCACATGTTGAGAAATCGGCGAGTCCTAGGTCGAAGCCGAAGCGCGGCAGCTTAGAGGTGACGCGGGACGTGTATCGACGACACGGCGTGCGCGGATTGTTCCGCGGTGGAGGTTTGCGTGCCGTGTGGACGGCCGTCGGCAGCGGTCTCTACCTGGGCACGTATGAAATGTCAAAGGTATGGCTCACTCGGGGTAAGGACGAATCGGAAGTTGTCGGAGGGCTGTAAGAACGGGCGGAAGAGAAGCAGCAGAAAACGTGCATATGTGAGATTAGCAGGGTGCATTTTGAGAGATAACAACCGGCGGTGACGACGGCAGGAACCTAAGAAAGTTTGCTGTAAGTGTATCTCTCCGGATACGTGTATCTATAGAATTAGGTTCCTGTTATCAGCATCAACTTAGCAAAGGCGGCAATGATACGAGATGCATAGAGTTACGCCGTGCCAAATCGTCTGGTCGTTGTTGAAAGTCGCAAATATGTCATAGGGAGACAAAGTGAAGCGACGGGAGTGATTGAGGAAGACATAAGAGTCTCCGAAACACGGCCTGAACATTGACACCCGACCACCTCGTTGACAATCCAATGTTGCCGCATTGTTGGGGTGGATCTTTACCCGCCGGTGCGTTGATGCCGGGATACGCCAGCCTGCCGATGCAAAAAAGTTGTCGGCCAATAGTTTCGGTGTGATAGAGCACAAGTTGCAACTCTGCCGGCCCCTAAAAAGTCAGAATGCAGAGATGAAGGCAAAAAGATACGCACCGCGGCACCTTGAGGGCTCCCACAAGCTTTTGCTTCTTTTCCTCCATTTACCATACCTCGACCAACGTTACCAAACCATCCCCATCCACCTCACCCTCACCCCTTTTGTTAGCCCTACGGCTAGACGTTTTAGGCCCAGTGTAGCGTCAGTGAAGAATGCGGGGGAACTCGCTGCTCCAACTCGTCGTTTGGGCTTCTAAAGCAATACCACCGCCAGAACCAAATCCAGCCAGGCTTGGCCATCCGTTCTTTTCTCCATAGGCGGGCGAGCCATCCTTTGTCGTTCACCCCGAGTCTTTCTGGTGAGTTTATGGCCCCAAATTCCTATATGGATGCCCATCACTCCATGTTTTCCCCTTCTTTGGTGCTCTTGTTGCGCTTCTGCTTTGACAATTAGCAAACGTAACTCAAGTGTCCCGTACTTTTTGTCTAACTCAACTCCCTTCCCTTACCGTTTTTCTCCAAAGGATCGTGCCAATAAAATTAAAAGTCTAAAAAAAACCGAGTCCAAGTCTGAAGAGGCGCATTGCGCATCATGTCCAAAATTACACACGTCTCTGGCATCAGAACCACATCCGATTGCGCAATCCCTCCAAGACTGGTCGCTCCTTTGCGCCCACTGGTACCGTCCGTACTCCGTACCGAACCGCACCATCCATGGCTGTCCCGTGCTTGCATGCTTCCCCCCTACTGCATAGCATGCAAACGTCCGGCGAAATTCTTTTTTTTTTCCTTTTCTCTTTTTGAGATGATCCATATCTTGGACTAGCTCGCCGTGCCCGCCTGGCTGCCCACCCGGGTCGCAGATTTGCTACCTAGGCAAAGTCCAGTCCCATGCAAAAGCCCAGAAAAAGGGGTCCCAGACTTCCCTAAGCATGGTTGAGGGATGAACACCGCTTCTTTGACCGGCACACCGGGTTGGTCAGCTGCACTTGACTCGCACCGAGTCGCTCGACGGTGTGTAAGGTGTTAGTCGCTCCCGACCCACCTGGGCTTGGGTTAGGCAATCCCATGTCGAAAAGACGTTTCCTCGACGCCCCCTGCCCGACACGTCTCTGACTCTGGATGGTGTGCTGTGCTGTGCTGTTCTTATATTTCAGACTCGACGCTCATTTTCGTCCTTTCGTCTTTTTGGTTTTCAGATGTTTGTCGTCTTCCTGTCCCAGATAACGAAACACCATAACGTAGCCTCAACTTGTGCTGAGCCGAGTCTGCCCCTTACACCACTCGCTCGTTGCTCTTCACCCACATCATTTCTCGGCAATCTTGAACGGGAATTCCTTCAAGCGCCCTCTAGGATACCTTGATCCAACAGCTCAAAGCCACCCGGGCTCTTCATTCCAGCACAATCACAGAGGCATTGCTCCGGATCATCATCATGACTGCCGTTGTGACCACGGCCCCATTGGGCGTCGACCTTCTGGCCCAAAGCATCAAGGAGAATACATCCATCAACATAGCTGAGGTCGACATCAACAACACGGACAGATTCCTCGTCCACTCTCCCTACACAGAACCAGAGCACTTGCTAGATCTCGAGACCCTGGATGATGAAAACGCCCTCCTCGCCAGGGCGTTGTCTCAGATGGAGTGCCTCCGCGCGGACTACGCCACGGCCGGCTACGTTGAATCCTTCAATTGGGACCAAGTTCTCGGCGAGCTCAAGCGCCTCGTCCAATCCACTGGGAAATCATTCAAGGAAACTTCCTTTTACATTGTGGCATTCCGCTCGACGATCCCGCCATCAACAATCTATGAAGATCTCGGCGTTTTGGACAAGGCCGCGCATGCCGAAGCCAACCAATTCGGGGGGTTCTTGAAGTAAGAGAAATGACGAGGAAATAGAGACAAAGAAGGACAAGAGACTAACTCGCCCGCAGATATTGGTTCGGAAGTCCCGACTCAGAAGGAAGAAATTTGGCAACGTGCGTCTGGCGGTCGAGACCAGATGCCGTCAAAGCCGGCCACGGTCAGGCTCATCGTCGAGCAAGTCGTGCGACAGCGTCCATGTATTCGTTTTGGAAGATTGATCGACACCGCCTCATCGTTCGTGACGGGGCCGAAAGCTGGGAGATTGTCGATTGGGTTGACTGAGAGCACCCTCTTTCAGACGGACTGGCAGGTAAAACAAAAGTGGCTATTTGCGGCGTTTGGTGATTTTGAGAAGATGTCGCAATCGGACTGGTCAATGAGCAATGAGACACCACAAACAGAGCGTATAGTACGCGGCATAAGAGGGTATGACATGGGCGCACTTGAATACTTTAGCATTTTACAGCCAAGAAACCATTGGCTTTTCCTCCATAGATAGCGGAATAGACAAACGCATAGTTCCAATGCGCCGTACCTATCCCACCTTACACTTGCATCCAAGTGATAGTCCTGTTGCAAATCATTCTGGCTGATGGAGCGAAAGACGAGGGGATGGCGAATACTGAAGCAGGTGAGAGAGCTCGGACTCCCAGAGGTGCTGATTCACGGCTGTAATGTACCATTTTCATTTTATCGACATGTACAACCCGACATGGGCACATAACACCCCCCGAGTGATATCGCAAAATGATGCTCAGGAGCAGGAGAGTCGAATGGGCCAGGTTATGAAGAGGAAGATGGAAGGAGGGAAGCGCAGGACGACGAGATGAGACGACGTTGAATTTAAACTCGACTTGAGTGCTTTCGGCGTGGGGGCAATGAGTGGGATGCCCTCCCATTCAGGACGTGGCGTGTGGAATCTGTTACGGATCACCGTGGGAGAGAAAGACGGCGGTGTGGGTCCGTCCACGGCCGGTCCGGAGGGGGTGGGCTTAACGGAGCTTGAGGGGGTGAACATATCACATGACCTTTTCTCTAGTGAACTCTGCCGCCTGACACCGCCCGACAGCCCACAATCCCTCCCACAATTCGTTGTAGCGAAAAGTTCGATATTTCGCAACACGACGAGACGACTGCCGCCCCTCTCCTCGAATTCCGACCGCCAAGTTAACGCGACACCAACGATCCCGCAGCCGCAGACTCAAAACCAGGCCACCGAAATTTTGAACCTGCACGACACTCTCCCGATCGTATCGCAAATATGGGTGACGTTATCAAGGAGGTGCCGCTCACGGCGGTCCGCGTTGAGGCCCTTGTGAGTCCTGCCCGAATTCTGCCCCACCTCTCCTCACATTGGGGCTTCATGCTACAGTGCAGTCATGATGGAGGGATATATGGTAGAGGATGTGTAATGTCGCTAACCTCAGACGTGTCTCTAGGTGGTGATGAAAATCGTCAAGCATGGCTCCGCGACCTTCCCCACGACCGCCACCGGTTCCATCGTCGGCATGGACGCCGACGGTCTCCTCGAGATCACAAACACCTTCCAGTTCCCCACGGTCGACGTCGCAAGCACCGACAGCCACCAAAACAGCCACCAGAACGATGCCTCGGCCCTCGCTGCCGCCGCTCCCCGCCAGAAGGCCAACATTGTCTACCAGAACGACATGATCAAGCACCTGAAGGAGGTCAACGTCGACGCTAACAACGTCGGCTGGTACACCAGCGCTGCCATGGGCAACTTTGTCAACCTTAGCTTCATCGAGAACCAGTACCACTACCAGAAGGACAACGAGCGGACAGTCGCCCTCGTCCACGACGTCAGCCGCAGCTCCCAGGGCTCCCTGAGCCTGCGCGCTTTCAAGCTCACCCCGGCATTCATGGCGGCATACAAGGAGGGCAAGTTCACGACTGAGAGGTATGTTGGACTGTGTTGTAAATGAAGATTTGGAAACCGACTGGGACGCTGACATCTCTCATTATAGCCTGAAAGCCTCCAAGCTCACCTTCAAGGACATTCTCGCCGAGCTCCCCGTCGAGATTCACAACACCCACCTTCTGACCTCGTTCCTGCACCAGCTTCCCGGCCTCCCCGAGCAGGACAAGATCGAGTCGCCCAACTCTTTGTCGGATCTGCGCGACGACCCCCTCAAGCAGCAGCTCCACCCGTCGGTCGAGAACCTCGACCTCTCGATAGACCCCTTCCTCGAGAAGACGTGCGACCTCCTGCTCGAGAGCATCGAGTCCCACTACACCGACCTCAACAACTTCCAGTTCTACCAGCGCCAGCTCGGCCGCGAGCAGGCCAAGATCACGCAGTGGCAGACCAAGCGCAAGGCGGAGAACGCGGCGCGCGCGGCGGCCAAGCAGGCGCCGCTGCCCGAGGACGAGTGGCAGAGGCTGTTCAAGCTGCCTCAGGAGCCCAGCCGGTTGGAGGGCATGTTGAACGCGAAGCAGGTGGAGCAGTACAGCAAGCAGGTGGACGGATTCACGGCCAACATCAGCGCCAAGATGTTTGCCGTCAGGGAGAACCTGCTGCCCAAGCGGGCTTAGATGGACGCCTAAGGCAGGCTTGGGTCATTATTGCGCGGCTCCGTGGCTGTGGACGGACAAGAACCAAAAACGGAAGGCCGGCGAGAGACGAAGAAAAGGGAGTGCAGTGCAGAGGAGGAGAGCAGAGTCGAGGCGAGGGCAGACACAAAAAGGAGAGGAATTACCTTAGAGAACAGGTGTTCTGGGAATGATGAATGATCTGGGGCAGCGGATCAAAGCATTCGAAACGGCGTTACGGTAATTAGTCCCAGGCAGTGTGTACTGAGTCGATATTCGATGTCTTTTCTTGCATTCCAGAGCGACGGGCTTTCCTCCCTGGGCCACGACGTATTCGGGCCCACCACGGTCTACGGCCGACGTCGAGTGAAGCCTTGCGAGTAAAGGGTATCTTGAAGCCGCGAGGCTGTCAAAAGACGAAGCTGTTGTGGTATGGACATTGGATATCAGAGGTTCGGGGCTGTCGTTCTACCTGGGAGATGATACGTCCGGACACACGAGTCAAAGATAACACGGCCAAGTACTGGGTTATCGAGTGCGTTCATCAGCGGTGACATCAGGCTGTATGTGGCCCAGCGGTGAGGTGCTACCTAGCTAGATTTGCCCGCGGATACTCGTCCGTACAGCAGAAGATGGAATCAAGCACATTGAACAGCAAAGATGAAGCATCCGCGTATGTCTCCGGACAAGTCGGCTTCAGACGCCTCGTCCCAAATACCACCCCCCAGTATCGTCCATAACCCATGCTATAGATTAGCGACAGAGTGTACTCATTGGTCCTCTTTAGCTTTGGCAGCCCTGTCTTGCATGATTCGTCTGGTCCCGTTGAGGATACTGCCCAAAGTCAGTCTACTCGAGAGGGAGAAGTCCTGAAGTGAGGTACGTGGTGCGTTTGTGTTCCCCGAGGGCGATGGTTGGTGGGGCACAAATCGAGGGGTTTCACGCTCAAAAGGGACTAGCGCAAGAAAACGGTAAAACAAGGGGAAACAAAAAGAGGTCGACCTCTCAGATTGAGTCTCGGCGGCACGCCTGGCGCGGCGCGGGCGGGCACAAGCGGCTGGCCCTGAAGCTGTTGCTGGCCAGATGGAAAAAAAATTGAATGTCAATGAGGGGCACATTTCCGTATTTTTCTGAGGTGCCCGTCTTCTCCCCAGGGTAGGTACCTGCTCCCTATCAGATCTGCGTGTACCTTCGCCGCCCACCTCAAGCCGATTGAGCGAGGCCAATGTATCTTTTCCCACTGAATTCACTCACATTGGCAGTATTTTTTCTAATTACCCGACCTAACCTTACCTTACCTAAGCTACCTTACATGCTTACCTCCGAGCAGGTCGGGCCCGGCCTACGGGCTGCTCTGAGCTTCCACAGTTGTGTTTCCGAGTGGTAACGTAATAAGGGCCTTCCTTGGACTGAGGTGAGGTGAGCTACCGGTACCAGAGGTACCTACTCAAGGGACCTACCTAGGTAGAGCTTACATTCCAGAGCTTGCTCCCTTAGGTCTAGCCCTCCCTTGCCCTTCCATGTGCGCCGCTCTTTGTGGCTTATCAAAAATGGGAGCTTTCGAATGGAACTTGGAAGGGAAGGGTAGGGGGAAATGCAAAACGCCAATTGAACGACGTTGGATGAGACAGGAGTCGGTGTCTTGGGCCAGACAATAACTGACACCTCAGCCAGTACCTCAGCCAGTGACAGCAGACCGGAGAGAAAAGTCTGGCAGAAAAAAAGAACCAAAAAAAAAAGTACCGGGGAATGGAAGCCGAGCTATCTGATTCGTATCCGTACCTTAGCTACGGCATGGTAGGGTAGGTACATTGCCCCTCCTCTTTTGCCTCCTTTCACCGCATGGAAATGGTCTGAGAGGAGCTCAAAAGGGAAGTGTTCTGGGGCCCTTGAGAAAGTCTGATTGTCAGATATGTGACGGAGGGAATGTACATCTGTTGCATTGTTGGACCCGAGTTATGGCGAGGGATAGCAGCAGTCAGTACCTTAGGTGTCGGAGCTATCATCAGCCGAGGGGCATGTCCGTCTTTTCCACCTCAGTACCTGGTGTACTTGGGTTGTGAACAGCACTGATGGACAGATAGCATGTACTTCTTGCTATCGTCTTGTATCAGCTCCAAAGTCTCGCGGAGCCATGACCAGCAGACTGAGCATCGGTGACCAGTAGAGCAGCATGGCGTGTCCACTGTTGAGGACGAGGTGCCCAGACAACGACCAGACACTGGCAAAACCCCACCCCGCCTGCCACACCTCGAGACTTCAGTCAATTGGAAGGCACGGCGTGGGTGAGGAGGAAAGAGCATTGGATCGAATTGTGAAGTTTTTTGCCCCGCCTCTGGCTTCAGGTGGGCTGCTGGCCTGCTGCAAAGGCAGGAAGTCCCCGTCCCCCAGTCACTTTTTTACCCCTCCTTCCCACCACTGGCCACCTGCGGATACCTCAGTCTGAACTTGTGAACTTGTGAAGTAGGTACGGAGATCATGTAGAGACAAGTACCTTTTTTTTTTCATTTATCACCGTACCTTACGCCGCGCTTCGCCGACACACAGCAACACCAAGAAGGCAAAAAAAGGCAAGAAGGAGGTACTTTTTGTTGACACAGCAGGAGCAGCAGAGATTTCTCACCTACCCAAGGTACCTTACCTCAGGGCAGTCTGGATTCCCGACATCTCATCCCTCGCATCCCGCATCCCTCCCACTTCTGGCACTCCCACTCAGGCACTCACACACCGCCCTGCCTTCCTGCCGTCCCTGTCCGTGTCTGAACCCCTCCAAAGTCCAAAAGCCTTTTTTTTACTTCTTCTACCTGCCCTCCCCCCGCCAACTACCTTTTGAATCTTCTCCTCCTGCTCTCCTTCTTCATCCTCTCTTCTTCTCTTCTTCCTCCTCTATACCCCTTTCCTCCTCCCCAAACCACCTTTTACCATCACCATAAACTTCACAATGGCTGCCCCCGCCAACAAGTTCAAGGTCGCTGACCTGTCCCTTGCCGCCTTCGGCCGCAAGGAGATCGAGCTCGCCGAGAACGAGATGCCCGGTCTTATGCAGACTCGCGCCAAGTACGCTGCCGACCAGCCTCTCAAGGGTGCCCGTATCGCCGGTTGCTTGCACATGACCATCCAGACCGCCGTCCTCATCGAGACCCTCACTGCTCTTGGTGCTGAGGTTACCTGGACTTCCTGCAACATCTTCTCCACCCAGGACCACGCCGCTGCTGCCATTGCCGCTGCCGGTGTCCCCGTCTTCGCCTGGAAGGGTGAGACCGAGGAGGAGTACAACTGGTGCTTGGAGCAGCAGCTGTCCGCCTTCAAGGATGGCCAGAAGCTCAACCTTATCCTCGACGATGGTGGTGATCTGACCCACCTCGTCCACGAGAAGTACCCCGAGATGCTCAAGGGCTGCTACGGTGTCTCTGAGGAGACCACCACCGGTGTCCACCACCTCTACAAGATGCTCAAGGACGGCAAGCTCCTTGTGCCCTCCATCAACGTCAACGACTCCGTCACCAAGTCCAAGTTCGACAACCTGTACGGCTGCCGCGAGTCCCTCATTGACGGAATCAAGCGTGCTACCGACGTCATGGTTGCCGGCAAGGTCGCCGTCGTCGCTGGATTCGGTGATGTCGGCAAGGGCTGCGCCCAGGCTCTGCACACCATGGGCGCTCGTGTCATTGTCACCGAGATTGACCCCATCAACGCCCTCCAGGCCGCCATGGCCGGCTACGAGGTCACCACCATGGAGAAGGCCGCTCCCCGCGGTCAGATCTTCGTCACCACCACTGGCTGCCGTGACATCCTGACTGGCGCTCACTTCGACGTCATGCCCAACGACGCCATTGTCTGCAGTACGTTCATTCCCCTTGTTATCTGTTTCTTCTCCGGTCCAGTTGACTAACCTCCTCCCTCCAGACATTGGTCACTTCGACATCGAGATCGACGTCGCCTGGCTCAAGGCCAACGCCCAGAGCGTCCAGAACATCAAGCCCCAGGTCGACCGCTTCCTGATGAAGAACGGCCGCCACATCATCCTCCTTGCCGAGGGTCGTCTGGTCAACCTTGGCTGTGCCACCGGTCACTCCTCCTTCGTCATGTCCTGCTCCTTCACCAACCAGGTTCTTGCCCAGATCATGCTGTACAAGTCCGGTGACGCCGCCTGGGGCCAGAAGTACGTCGAGTTCGCCAAGGCTGGCAAGCTCGATGTTGGTGTCTACGTCCTCCCCAAGGTCCTTGACGAGGAGGTCGCCAGACTCCACCTGTCCCACGTCAACGTTGAGCTCACCGAGCTCACCAAGACCCAGGCCGACTACCTCAGCATCACCGTTGAGGGTCCCTACAAGAGCGACATCTACCGCTACTAAGCGGCTTCCTCTTTGTATCGTCCAATCTTTTAGCGACTGGATTTCTTCAACATTCCGACTAATGACTTCAACGAGCGTACACCATAACATTTGGCAGTGTGTGTTCTCAACAGCATGACTTGCATGACACATCTGGGAAGGGAATCTCGGCTGGGGGCGGTTACGGGCTGGAAACTCAAAAAGCTTGGGGGGCCTGGCTGCGAGATTTTTCAACAAAAAAAAGGCGTTGGCTTGTGAATAGTGATTCCCCAGACCATGGCATCTGTATTTTGCTTTCTTCGGCCCGACTCTTGGGGAGCGGGAAAAAATAAGGGACTCAACCCCCGGACATGGGATTAGGGGTTATGGGTAGACAACTCGACGACTAGGGCCCGTCAACCGCGGTCCGCATAGATGAATATATGCGTCTTTCGAGCAACAACTTCGATTGTGCCTATTGATTTGTGCCCTCGTACTGTCTAATTCTTGCCACGTTCATATCTAGACATTCGATGCGTAGAACTGCATGCTGAGCGCAAGTTTGCCCTCAATTCTTACCGCACCCACTAGTTACGCCCCGAAACTTAGACAAGTGCGCCTTGGTAAATGCGCACAAAACACTTGACTTGGACCTGGTACCGCAATGAGGGCTCCGGGATACCATCTGTCTCAATCCCTCAGCAATAGCTCGTCTAGAAATCCTTGCTTTAACTTCCGTTCTATGGACCATAGGTCAGCATATGTAGTCGGGAATCCGGTGATCTCGCACAGGGATTAGCCCTTCTTCGGTACGTATACCAAGTAGTATACGTCCATGAGGCACAATGCAACTCGGGTGAGTTACTTATTCTAATACAGACTGGGGATGTTATTGTAGGATATGTTCCAAGCTGGGGTCTATCTAACATCCATGTCAGATGATAATAAGGCAGTCTTTTCCTAGGCTATACGTGTTTTGGACTACATATCTCGTGTGACTTCCAATTACACAGGCAACCTCATTTTCGCTACTTTTCTACTATCTTCAGGAACGAAACCTCTACCAGAGACCGTTTACTACCTCCTTTCTCGTCCGCCACCCCTCTAACCAACAAGCCCCTTTTGCTCAACAACAACACTATCCAGCTTCTCCTCCGTCACCGCCCTCCTTACATTCCCAATAGCCCACTTCTCCATCTTGACGCTTGTCTCGAGCGTCCAGGTGCCCATGTGCGGGACAATCAGCGCGTTGGGGTTGGCGAGAAGGCCGGGGTGGACCTCGGGCTCGTTCTCAAAGACGTCGAGACCCGCGCTGGCGACTTTTCCGGAATCGAGCGCCGCGACGAGCGCGGCTTCGTCGATGACGGCGCCGCGGGCCGTGTTTACTACCACCACGCCGGGTTTCATGAGGTCGAATTGCGGGGTTGAGATTATGTGGCGGGTGTGGGCCTTTTCTTGTCAGTGGTGGTGAAGAGGAAAATTGCCCCCCCGGGGGGGGGGGGGGGTTACGTACGTTTAGAGGCAGGTTGAGAGAAATCACATCACTCTCCCGCAACAACGTCTCGAAATCAACATAGCTGGCACCACACTCCTCCTCCAAATGGCCCTCGAGCCTCGTGCGGTTGAAATACCGCACCTCCATGCCAAACGCCCTTGCCTTCTTGGCCATGTTGCGCCCGATGCCGCCCATACCGAGGATGCCTAGGACTTTGCCTTGGGGGTCGCGGCCTAGCGGGGGAGGGGGTTGACCTTTCCACTTCCCATCGCGGATGGAGAGGATGGAGGCGTTGAGGTTGCGGAGGGCGCCGAGGATGAGGAAGATTGCAGTGTCTGCTGTTGCGTCGTCGACTGCGGTGGGTGTGTTTGAGACGAGGATGGGGTTGGGGGAGCGGGATGTGCAGGCTGGGATGTCGATTTGGTCGTAGCCGGCGCCTTGGTGTTGTTTAGCATGTGGCGTCTGATCTACTCCTACTACTGAGGGATTTGTGATGGGAAATGCGTCATGTCGGGCGTGTTCTGAGCGTGTGAGATGGAAGAAGAGGAGGGAGGCTCACCATTGTGGCAGATGAAGCCTACGCTGGAGGGAAGAGCGGCGACGAGCTCGGCATCGATGCGGCCGGTGATGTGGACGCTTGCAAAAGTGCGGTAGATTGCCTTTACGCCGTCGAGGGCGCCGGACTTGCACTCCTCGAGGAACTCGGCGCGATTGGTGGCCTTTGGCTTGATGATTTGGGCGACGTCAGCGAGGGAGGCCCAGGTGTCGTGGGCGCTTTTGGGTTGTGTTTGTTAGCTTTGGTTTGGTGCGTCTGGTTGAGATGAGGAAGGGTGATGTAGGGGTTGTGGTGGGAGGATGTGAATACGAGGCTGAAGGTTGATTCGGGAGCATGAGACGACAATCGTCTGAATGGAAGACGGAGGATGACGTACTGCTCGATTTGGCCCAGTTGGAGGACTATGGGCTTTGACATGATTGCGGTAGTTGAAGCAATTGGCTTGAAATCGACTTCTCTTGAGAAGTGTTTGTCCTTTGATGGAATTGCAAACTTGAGTATGCGGAATATTGGTTAGCTCCAGATAATCACGTCTATCCCATCACGTCGCTCTCTTCACAAGCCAAAGATCTTCTGGAAATTCAGAGATATTGCGCTGGCGCTTGACGCAAGAGGAAAACTCACTAGACTAGTCAACCTGACTTGTGATGGTGAAATATGAGGTTAGAGTAAGTTTCGTCACCTCGCCGAGTTGATGCCGCGAAGTCGGAGTTGAGATACAGCGGCGCGGGGTGGCTTTCCCATTGGGGAGCCGACTCAATTGGGAAAGTGGGGGTTGATCAGCGGGGTTGAGCTCAATTGGTCGCCCAAACTCGTTCTCGTTCTCTTCCAACAATCTCGCCAACAAGTCGTGCTCGGGAGGACTGAAGACGGTTGAGGTGATTCATATCTCTATTGAGAATTCCGATACGAGCCTGCAGGCTCCTACTCGCAGGGATATCCAACAGTTTAGAAAATGTGTCTCTACAGGGCGTGAGAGGGCGTGAAAGGCACCCCGCCGGACCTGGCATCTTATCTCAGCCCCGAGTCGAGCGAGGGCCGTGTCATAAGGTACGCTCCAATTTCTTCGGGGAGAAGACCGAGCAGCTTCTGTGCAAGCATTGGCAGTCCTCAAATGAGTCAGCTTCTTCCATGAGAGAGGCTCTCAACACTTTCCAACTGTTTGTAGGATCTAGTTGGACAAATTCAGCCAGCGGCCTGTTTCCTAGATTGCGTATATTGAGATGGATAGGCCAACGTCACCTGAGCGTGATAGAGCCAGAAGAATAGAGATGGCTATCAAGAGAGAGGAATGGCTTCGAGTCATACAGTCGGTGATTCTCATGAGTCCTGTGAGATTATCCCGGGAGAAACTGTAGCTCTGAGCTGCAGGGAAGGCGACATCTAATGCTTTCAGAAAGACAGGGTGGGCTCATCGAATAGTGAGTGCAATAGGAAAGCCTCCAACAATCATTTACGTACTGTCTGGTTGACGCAGGATACTTGACAAGAGATCGAAACATGAATCTGCTTGTCTTGAGAAGGCTCAAGTCTAGGGCACCCTGCCTGTGTTTAATAACCGTTACGAACTATATAGTGCACACCATCTTGGAATGGCTGGTTGTCAAAAGCAAGCTTACATGACATGTTGCACTTGAGTCTCAGCGTATCATGAAGCTTATCATCATCAGATTTCCTCATTTCTCACAATGCCCTAGATAACTCCCCGCAAGTCAAGAGTGGCAACCAACATCTCCCAATAGGTCAGATATGAAAATGGTATCATTAAAGCACTGCGATAATCACCAACTGTCCTCCTTAAATACAGCCTGACAACCCATTCCTCCAATGAAATCCCTTGCATCCTTCTCAGACTTGAATACGTGTGGATGCGGCTTCTTCTCCCCCTCCGCATCAACCTCCATCCCCAACACCCCGTTCGGGTCAACCACAACAACACTCCGCTCATCCAGCAGTAACCTCCGAATGTTCTCATGAACGATCCTCTTGGCGATATTATTCAACGAATACGCATCCCGAAACGAGAAAACAACCGCACACGCATTCTCATGCCGTCCCGACCCGGGATCCTCCGGATCCGGCGACCCCAGCTCCCTCGCCAGCGCCCTCGTCAACCTCTCTGACCCAGCAAACCGCACCGCGCCGCGCAGACTGAAAATGACCACCTCCCGCTGACAATTCGGGTTATGCGGCTCATGCGCTCCCGCAACGAGCGTCGCCACCGAAGTCCTCACCGTCGCGCTGGCAATCTGGCTCACGTCCATCATATGCAAGCCCATATCGCGCGAGAGCTGCTCGCACATGGCCACCCCGCGCACGCTGTTCCCCCGCTCATCAAGCTTGGGCGAGAAAGAAGCGAGCCCGACCTGCCCCGGCAACGCGCCGATGATCCCGCCCGCGACGCCCGATTTCGCGGGGATCCCGACGTTGGAGACCCAGTCGCCCGCGGCGTCGTACATGCCGCACGTGGTCATCACCGACAAGACCTGCCTCACGCTCGTCTGCGGGATGACGGACTCGCCCGTCAGAGGCTGCACCCCGCCGTTGGAGAGCGTGGCGGCCATGACGGCCAGGTCGCGGACGTTGACGCTGATGGAGCACTGCCGGATGTACCCCTTTACGGCCTCGCGCGGGTCGCAGGTGATGATGCCCGCGGCTTTGAGCATGTACCCGATGCCCATGTTGCGGTCCGCGTCTTTGAGTTCCGCCTCGTAGACTTGTTCGTCTACGTGCAGCTGGCGGCCCGCGAGGCGCGAGAGGGCGGAGAGGATGCGTTCTGTGCGCTGTTCCAGCGTCGCGGAGGGGGACACGACGAGGGAGTGCGCCGTGATGGCGCCGGCGTTGATCATGGGGTTCATGGGCCTGTTGGACCCGCGCTCGAGGGAGAGGCGGTTGAAGGCGTCGCCCGAGGGCTCGACGCCGATCTTTTCGAGGACGGCGGGGAGGCCCGCGTCCTCTATGGCGAGAGCGTAGACAAAGGCTTTGGAGATG